ACCCTAAAATTGTCCGCGTTTCGATCGACGGGGTTTTCCGCGGCCGGAATGCGAGGCGCGATTTCCGGCCGAGACCGACGGTAGCGGGCCAAAGTTGCGAAACGGGACAGGGGTGCCCCGGGCGCACGTCGACCCCGTGACCGTCCCTCTCCGATAATGGTGATCATCACCAGTGTCGATTATCGTGTGAAAACGCCACCCGATCGGAGGAATCTGTCGATGGTTCTACGGCCGCGAAAAAACAATAGGGGACGCAAGGCCCCAAATTATCAACAGCCACCACGAGTACGATAGTTTACTAAAATATTTAGAGCCAATTTCAAAAACTCAGAAATATGCAGTGTGAATCTAGAACACAACTAAACCGTGAGCGTTAAGAAAATTATATGTATATAACAACAGTGAAAAAAGGAAACTTATACTACAACAGCTCGGAGTTTTTTACAAAGGGACGGCGAATAAACACAAAACAAAAATTATTTTTAATATTAATCATGTGAAACTGTAAACATGTACCTATAGTGGGTACCTTCCTCAATTTGTTATATATTAGCTTCATTTATTTGGGGGAAGTCATCCGATTGCTCCCAAACCCGTGCGGTAAAATCCCGGAAATGTCCGAAGTGATTCGGATTCGTGAGAAACGTGTGTAATTAGGCATTTTACAGACGGGAGTGGAAAAAATATCTTATTCCATGCATTTCCGCACTAATAATAAGTCCATATCTTCATTAAAATAGCGAATACGTTACCAAAACACTTAAACCACAATATTACTATAAAAATTATAATACAACGAGCACTGCTTACAGCTGTTTACACAAATTTTTGAACTTAAATAATTCATAGTACGCTTTGATGATAAGATGGAATCGGCATATGACCATTTTAAATTTGGCCCTTAAAACTAACTGAAAATCGAACAAGTTACTGGCGTCAGTCATAATCCACGAATTTTCCAACAAAGAAGGAAACTTCCTGCAATACTTACCAGTAGTCGATTTATGTTAGAACGGGAAGAAAAATAAGCCAAAAGCGAGAAATAAGGACGTAAAACCGCTGCGAAGGCAAAAAAGATGCTTAGCGTAAGTTGGGAAGATGCTTTTGAAGAAGAGCACTTATATTAAAACGCAGTCTCGGAAGTGACCGATGATGATGATGATGTGACGCCTTGTGCATTTTCTTTTGTAAAAAATTGTCAGAATCAAAAGCTATAGATCGATGGATTAGATGGTGTAACTGGAAGTAGGGGGTACATGTAGATTGTGCCGATGTTAGTCCAAGAATAAAGAATATTTCTGCAATGTTTGTGAGGAAACCGATTAAAAATAAAATATTTTTGATGCATAACTATGTACCCTATGTGTACCCTACATTTTTCGACAAAATATTTTATGTATTTTGTTTTTCAATGAATCATGCTTAATTCAAATAATTTTCAGAGTGTGTTTTTTTTTTAATTATATCGTTTTACCTATAGGATAGTGATATAAGTAAAATGCTTAACGAGGCTTTTTCTATTTCACTGCATTAAAGAAAAAAATATCGAATAAAGAATTAGCTTAGAAAAACCAACAAAATGATATAACCAAGAAGAATAGTTACTTTGTATGTCTTGAAACGAAAGATGTTATGACGCTAATTTGTCTTTTATACCCGAGAGAAAAATAAAACGAGTGATATACAGGGCATGCTCGGCTGGTTATTTTTATCATTTTCGTTGGGGGCCATTTTTTATTGTGTTAACGGGCAAAAATGTTTTACTTTTACTTGCTTATTCAAAGAAAATTAACGAAAATTGCAAAAAAGTCGGTTAATTTTAATCTAGTTAAAACACGGCTGTTGTTGAATCGAACTTGTTGACATTTCGTCAATCATCAAACTGTTTCAGGTAAGCTCTGAAGAAGCCAACAGGCCGAATCCCGAAGTTATAAATACTATTAAAGTGGGCTGTGGAATTTTCTTTAAAAACTGAAAATTGGACCTTTATCATTATGTCAGATTTCAACAAAACTGAAAAAAAAACATATCACAAAAAATCATTTTTTTAAATAAACATTCAGTGGTTATATTTGCATATTTGTTAAATGCCCTGTATATTTGTAAAAACATTTTTCGATTAGAAAAAAGTATACATTTTGGTTGCGAATCAACGGCCTGGTAGTACCGCATAGTAGGTTTATTTTAGACGCTGGTCAATTTCCATCGGACGTCGAGCAATAAATTAAACCGAATCGGCCGTACGTCACAATATTGCGTCGTCGAAAATTACACTGCCGACGGTAGAGACGAAAAAAATTGTAACCACTTAAAGTTGTTCGGGTTTGTCAGCGTTTCATCGAATCTCAGTCGGCGCTGATAGGTACATTGATCTATTGCCAATCCGTTTCCGATTGAGAGGCAATTACCGTATGCGGCGATCGTTACACGAGATCATTGAGCACAATCTAAAAATCGCCATTAATAACTTGCGCTGGAAATTTCATATTCCTTAATAATATGTTTTTATTTTGAGAGAAAACAAAGCTTTAAACATAAAACGTTTCGTACTATTTATTGGAATCATTCTAATGAAACTTGGACTGTTCGTTCGGTGCGATGCGACTAAGAAGGTTGATTGAGGATAAATACTGTTGAATTCTCATTTAAGTTACGGAGCAGTACTGTCTCATATTTATTAAAATCGTGTGTATATTTGGCGATAATTTACTAAGATCATGTCTTAAATCTAAAATTTCCATTGACAATAACCTCATAAGACTATTTCCGAACTAGACAGAGCACAATCGACTTCTATCTCATGGACTCGATATTTGAGAAATATTCAACTTTAATCACTGTCAACCGAGATATAAGGCATTTTATGATCTTTTCCACAAATTAATACAAATGCACAATGAATTCATATTAATATTCGAATTGAAAACTTAAATTAAAATTATTAAATTAAATCAAATCACATTGTTATTAAATATGAATTTATCACCCATTAAATTTTATTCACAGCTAATTTATCACTTCCAGAATGCCATAGTCAACACTAAACAACCAGGAGTCAACAAACCTCTTCATTTTTGTATATTCCTTATTTTGCAAATACACTAGAAATGTAAATTTTGTACTACGCACCACTAAAGGTTTTGGCAACCACAAAGCAGTCTTTGTTATTTACGATATCGTCACCAAATCATTTTTACGATAATCCACCAAAATAATCAAACACACTTCGCTGGAAAAAATTGCACCAAGTCTACCACGAAAAATGACCAGTTAAAGAACAATTGCCTTTTCTCTGCCGAGCTTTATATAGAGAGGCGCTCAACTTCGAAGTGGGAGATATATAGAAATGTTAGTCTTGCTTAATTCCTTAACGCTTAATTTCGATATAATGTGAAATTGTTGCACCTACAAGTTAATGGATTCTCGGCATAACTTCCAATAAATTGATGGATTGTTAGATCCGTTTCAAATTATTTAACAAGTAGTGAAAACTATTACGATAACTATTAGTAAGAAAATAAATGACAGTTAATAAATTGAGATCAACTGTCACACTGCAATTGCTGATAGTATATTAAGTCACTTTCATGTACACAGTATTTATCTTTTAACGCTTATCCTTGTCATTTTCCATAGAAATATTCAGATTAAACTACTTACAAACTCTCTAATCATTAGATGTGCTTGTATATGTGTTTCGTGTTTTTCTGAACAGCAAAGTTACTGATCTAGTTCACTGAATCCTGAATTTGTTTACGGCAAACGCATACAAAATTTGTAATGTAATTTTATATGTTTTGCGTGCCAATGGATAAACTGTTGGAGAACCCTCGGACTTTGGGAAATAAATAAAATAAATAAAAAATAAACAATGGGGACACATTTTTCCCCAATACCACCCACTTAACAATGCACCGTGTTATAAAATACATGAGGCACATATCGGCTCGTAACGGAGCAGCAGTGGGAAAAGAAGTGCGTTTTCATTAGTCTGCGGCAACCATCTAATCCATATAAGAAAGGAACAAATTGTGGGAAACCTATTAGACACAGTAAATGCGTTGGAGTAAAATCTGCTACATACGACCGCGTACGTTGACGTAAACCTTAATAGCGTATGCGCTACGTCTGCGGCATTTGCTACGGATTCCAATATCGTCCGACATTTTTGTTATATTTCGAGCATTTCTTGAAACATGTACAGAAAAAATTTCTATGTCACTTGTTTTTGTTGCTGCTCCTATTGAATTTCTTATAAAATTGTAAACATTCCAAACAATACCAAGGCAAATGGATCCTTTTTTTTTATTTGCTGAGGTAGTTCGTCTTCGAAATTGTTATTAGGCACGACTACCTTCCCCACCTTGTCTTCAAATTATGTTTTGGTAACCATGTCTTCTTCTAACAGGGGAACATCTGCTTCATTCCACATTCACCACATTTTAAAATGTTAAAAAAACAGGAATCTCCAAAGAATGTTTAATTCTAAGATTCTAATAAATATTTATCTGTATTCTTATGACGTACTGCGAATATAATCTATAGTCTTAGTTAGAAGAAGAAGAAGAATGTTGTTAATCGACAGGCTCGCAAGACAAAAATGATTATTTTCAAATTTTCCTGTAAGATAAAGAGTACAGATGGTTACCCTTACCCTTCATTCAAATACCTCGGTAATATATACGAACATATTGCAACTTAGATGTTTAGTCAAAAATACTCCGCAGCATCGATGCTTAATAAAAATTTAGAACTGTCCAATTACGTCTCAAATAAAAAATTAAAGTTTCTACAAATATTCGTTACGGTCCATCTCAGGCAAGAGCAGAATAAACGTCTGTCGGGATGGGTTTTACCACGGTCCTGCGAAGTTGTGCGTCAAAGCAATAAATGCACTATATTTTTGGTCGTACAATACCGATCGGTTTTAAAGGTAATCTTCGTGGAAAATTGTTGTAATTTTATAATAAAATAATACTCTTTTTCTCTTTCTTCCCCAGTTGGTGGACGCGGTGAGCGGTACCGGCGGCGACCTATGGCCCTTAGACCGGCCCGAAGGTATGCCTTCGATCCAGTCGTTGGAGGTTATGTGCGGCAAAGATCACATGGACGTTCATCTGACGTTCTCGCAGCCGTTCGAAGGGATTGTGTCGAGTAAAGGGCAACACGGCGATCCCAGGTGCGTTTACGTGCCGCCTTCGACGGGACAGACGTTCTTCTCCTTCAGGATTGCATACGCAAGATGCGGTACCAAGCCGGACCTCCACGGTCAATTCTACGAGAATACGGTTGTCGTACAGTACGACAAAGACTTACTAGAGGTATGTGTCAAGTTCCCCGAATATTATCAAAGATAATAAGGGTCAGTCTCCCGTTGGTGAGGTTAGACTGGGGCGTCGAAATTATTAGGTGAAAAAAAAAGTATATTTCGAAAGTTTTTCCAAACAAAATTATTATCTATATATATAAACCCTGGTGCGCGATGCGCCGGTTGGATTCATTATATACATATAATGTATTCAAATACTATATTTTTAAATCCGCAGGATGTTTGTGTTTCGAAGACAAATAAAAACTTTCTTATTTTAAATAAAACATGAACATTAAGGCATTTTGAATACCTCGGAAAAATTGAGACATTTTTCGTAAATAGTATATATTTCTTTTTTTTATACTATTTATTCACTTTTATCACTTCCTTAATAGTGAGTGTAGTTATGTTGTTATGTATGTAGCTCGCCTAATTACAAAAGTCGCCTTAATTTTTGAACATACCTCGTACATTCATAAAAGTTTTCTTGATATTGAAAATAATTATTATTTAGTGGTAGGTCAACTACTTCTATAAAACTTGTTAATAAAAGAGAAGTCTCATTTTTGACTAAAATTGTAGTCATAGTTTCATTTCTATTAGTTGCTTAAAAGTAAAAGAATCTTCAATACAGTATTTTTAAATATAATAATAAAATTTTTATATTATGATAATGTTGGGTTTTATTTGTGTTGCCATATCCTCAAGATTTGTTGTTTTTGTAAGCCGTTATTTTTTATTTAGTCTTTTTCAAGTTTTTTTTGTTTAGTTATTTTTCATGTTGTAATCGTAACAAATTATAAAATATTAAAAAAAAAACACAAAATCCCATAGACTTTATTAAAAAAATCCGTTTAGACGTATAAGTAGATAAAATAATAGTCCCGAGTACCGTGTACTCGCGAAAGGACATATATACGAGTGCAAAGGGTTAAGCGGTAAATTTGACATCACGTACGCATAATAATTTAATATAAAATACACATTATCATTAAATAATGATAGATAACACTCTACAATTGAAAGATGTTATTTAAAACATTTTTTAACCAGTCAACTAAAAAGTTATACCTTAATAATATACACCTATGTTTAATTTAAAATAAGAAAGTGTTTACTTGTCCACGAAAATGTAAACATCCTGCAAGTCATGTCATATGTCATCCCATAATAAATAGGTCGCCCAGTACATACTATTGTACTTATTTATTTACCCAAACAAACAACAGGCTGCTTGGAGCGTTTGATAGTCTTAAAGGTATTCTAGAAGAAGACTAATCTTAGTTTATATACGCGCATGCTAATAAGTTTCATTGAAGAGAGAGATAGAGACTGCCTTTTTCATATCTTGATCAATTTCGGTCGTTCCGCAGACGGATAATTTTTTTTTGTTGTCCGCCTCCTAGGTGTGGGACGAGGCCAAACGGCTCAGGTGCGAGTGGTTCAACGACTACGAGAAGACGGCTTCGAAGCCCCCGATGGTCATCGCCGACCTTGATGTCATACAGCTCGATTTCAGAGGTATATACAAGCGGCGCGTAAATTGGGTCCACCTATTGACATTTCTAATGAGCCGGGGACCGGTTCCGGCATTAAAAGTGTGAAAATACCTGAATAGATTCTTCGCTCGCGTTGATTTGAACACCCGAGGTCTTATACTTATAAAAAAATAATATATATAAATTACTCGAAGATTACAGCAAGGAAGTCTCCATAATACAAGGGCATGAGTAAATATTTCATGTTTTATAACCTTTAAAATAGCGATCGCCAACGAAAGGGGCAAAACTGAACATTGCTATGACTTCATATTTGGCCCATATATGCAGTTTTGCCCTGCGTTGGAACCTATTGAAAATAGGGGGGCTGGGGGGTCGGGAAATATTAAAAAAAAAAAATCGCGTGTGCAAGGGTCATCAAAAAACACCGTTTTTCAAAAACCGATCGAAAAAATTCCTGAACCAGAAGACGATTTTTGTCCATAACCTTGTATAGAATCGAAAAAATGCGTGAAGCAAAAGTTATAGCGCCGGGTCTCCCACGTATTACGGTTGTAAAATTTTTCCGGTCGGATGAATGGTTTTGGAGGAAAAGATGTTTTTCTGGATGCCAAAATAGCCAAAAAAAAAATCAAAAATTAAAAAAAAAATACTTCGCGTTATTTTATTGCTCCCAATTTAAATAGTTTAAATGCGGGCCCGGACTTCTACTTCTCTCCCAAGTCTGAAGTCGGTTACTGCAAATTTGGGGCATTTATTACGTTTTTTAATATTGCACGGAATAAAGCGAACATATTTAAAAACCTTAAATACAAAAGTTTTTTTCTATCTATCTAAAATAAACTGACATCTAATGGGGGCTACACACATGCAGGCAAGTCCGCGCGCAAGTGCGAAACGAATTACGGCCACACACTATTTAGGCAAACGTCGAGGCTCGTCACTTGATAAGAGCTGCTGCTGCGAGAAAAATGAAGTTGGCCTTCGCATTTGCTCTAAAAATCAGACACAATCTGATTCGCTTCGAGCCGCGCTTGGAACTGAACGCGCCTTGAGTTTTGACACATAAACATTCGCACTTACTCGCGTGTCTCGACCTGTACAGGCAAGTCTGCACGTGTATAGGCCGCTTAATACACAGATCTTAAATTATTTCCAATTTTAAATAATAGGGGGGACACATTTTTCAGTTTATGGAGCCGCATCCTCTGCGTCTTCTGATTCAAGAATTTTTTTAGTCTTGTAAACGATTTTTGAAAAATGGTCTTTTTTGTAGACTTTTGCATAGGCTATTTTTATTTTTTTTAAAAACGACCCGGCCTCCCAGCCCCTCTCATTTTCAATAGGTTTCATAACTTGGCAAAGCTGCATATATGTGCCAAATATGAAGTCGATTGCTTCAAATTTCGGACACTTATCGTATTTCACAGCAAAGCCCAAAAAACAGTCGAAAATCGCGAAAAAAAGATGGATACCGGCGTCGGATCAAAGCCATTTCTTATAAGCTTATGTGCCTCGTGGAGGGTTAAAAAGCAGGAAAATTTCAATTTTGTAGCTTCAACGGTTCCAAAGTTATTCAGGAAAATCCAAAAGACGAGAACGGAGAAAGACAAAAAAATTTTTTTTTCGACGGTGATCATTTCCATTTTACCAACGGCGATCCCATCCTATCACCCCCTACTGTTACCGAGATATAAAATTTTTATACTAGCGCAGATACTTTCGAAAAATTCGGTTTCATCGATTTTCGAAAGTAACAAGTCGTATCGTGTCGAATTTGAAAAAACCGAGGTTTGAAGCTTTGGAAATGTTATTGGTTGATAAATTTTGGCCACTGTGTAAGCGATAAAACAATTTTCATAACATTAACGGGCTATGACCACTAACCTAAATATTTGAAAGGAGCAAATAAAATCCCATAGGGATATGAAAGGATCCTGCAAAGATATATAGCCACGCCGCTGTCTTCCGTCAAATACCCCGCGACGCGAGCAACTTGAACTTTTGCCGACTAACCAAACTCTCAGGTCTTTAGCTCGTAAATCGTTTACCCAGCTTTTAATTAAGTTGGCTTTTGGCGCCAGCGGCGTAGAATGAAGGATTAACTCCACGCCGTGTCGATCCGACTAGAGCTTTGATAAGCCTAGAGCGTTACCGCCATTTTGGGTAACACGGTGTGTACGGTTAGCGGGTAAATTGAATACTATTAGAAGTGGATACGATCTATAAAACTTGAGGCGCGTACAGCGTTTACCCGTCGGTCGCGCCAATGGACCGACGATTACGCAAGAAGCGTCGATATTTATTCATGCGGTGCTTGCAGGTGGGATATGCAAATAAATTTGGGCTCGCGGGCTATTCGGAACAGGCCCGTATCCCAAATTATGCAGCCGACAACCAAAATTAAAAAAAAACCTTCGCTGTGCTACAGGTCTCAATCTTCATCGAGTTTACTTATAACAATAGTACCCGAAGTACATACAGTCTTCATCGTGTTTCGACGCAACCTCCCCAATAAACTTTAACTTTAATTTTTCAAAGAAACTTCCACGGGCTACTGTAATACTTTTTACAAAACTTCTGGATTCCTTCTGTGTCGGTTTTTGCTGAGTCGAAATTGCTGACGTTTCCCCAATCATCCTGATTGTTTCTTCAGAGCTTGACTAAATCTGGCTCGTATTTTACTCTGTACCTGCTTAAAATAATGGAAACGCTACGTCGATGATACTTTTGTAATTTGGCCTCATGGTCAAGAAACCTTAGTAGATTTTCTTAGACATTTAAACTCTATACACCCTAACATAGGTTTTTTTCGCAAATATATTTATGGAAGCCTTTGAGAAGAAAGCTCTCGACACCTCATGGTCAAGAATCCCTAGTAACCTCTATACACCCTAACATACATTTTACCATTGAATTAGAAACTAGAAAGAAAGAAGAGAGAGAAATTAGAAAAAACAATAAGCTTTCATTGTTAGATATTCTTATCAATAGAAAATCAGACCTAACATTGGGTCATTGTGTTTATAGAAAACCTACGCACACAGACCGATACCTTAATGCATGGTCACATCACCATCCGGCCCAACAATCATCGGTTATCAACACTCTTTTGTTTCTTTTCTTCTTTAAGTGCCGTCTTCGTTGCGAAGGTTGGCAATCATCAGTGCTATTCGTATTCGTGACACAGCCGACCGAAATAGTTGCTTTGTGGTGCACCCGAACCAGTCACGTAAGTTTCTCATCCATGAGTGACGCCTTCTTCCTACACTTCTCTTTCCTTGTAATATGAGTTGGAGTAGTTGGTACTTTTCTCCTCTCCTGACGTGTCCAAGGTACTGAAGTTTACGCTTTTTTACTCTAATGATAATTTCTTTTTCCGTTTTTATTCTTTTCAGGATTTCCATGTTGGTCATTCCAGTTTCCTGGAGCCGTAAAACTATCTCAAAACTCTCTGAAAACAGAATTAAAACACCTTACCTTTGTTCTTCTCTCTAATAATTTCCATATTAAAGATATTAAGCGTTCCATCAAAAAATACACTTCACCACAACCTTCCAATTATTTGTGATTCTGATGACCAGCTTTCTTGCCATCTTTTTTGTGGTCTTCCTCTTGATCTTTTCCCCTAGGCTTTTCCATCTCTTGTGATCTTTGCTAATCTGTGCTCTTCCCTTCTCGTCATGTGTTGATTCCAATTTCTTTTTCTCTCTCGTCCCCATCTTACTAAATCTTGAATATGACAGTGTTGCCGGATATCTTCGTTTATTACATGGTCTCGTCTAGTCTTTCCTACTTGGTAAATATCTCGGTGGTTTGTCACAGTATCGCATCGTCCGCGTAACATAGTATCGTGATTTGTGTTTCCTATTTGATATCTTGTTAGTTTTATTTGTTTTATCGTTTTGTCAATAATCAGGTTAAACAGAAACAGACTTAAGCTGTCTCCTTGTCTTATTCCTGTGTTTGCCTGTATTTCTTCCCTCAGCTTTCAGGAGCCCTCAGGAGATAATTTTTTTTCTTTAAGTAGGTATGCTATGTCATTAAGTCGTATTTTATCAAACACTTTTGTTAGGTCCACGAAACACATGAAGATAGGGTTGTTGCACTCTATTGACTTTTCCACTAACTGCCGAATTATAAGGATGGCATCTGTTGTTGATCTGTTCTTTCTAAAGCCTTGCTGTCCTTCGCATATCGGAATTGTTGCTCTTAGTTCTTCGATATTGTATCTAGCAATGATATTCCCCAATAGTTTGATGGCTTGTTCTTGTCCGTTTTTTTAAATATCAATGTGGTTAAACTTTTATTCCACTCTAGAGGTATCTTTTCTTCTTTAATTATTTTATTGAAAATTTTTGTTATTTCCTTTATTAGTTTTGGTCCACCAAATCTAATTTGTTTGTTTGTGACCGTGTTTTCTCCTGGTGCTTTTCGTTTTTTCAGTTCTCGTTGCGTTTTTCACGTGGTTTTCTGTTATCATCCAATTTCAGTCCATTGTTTCTGTTTTGTCTTGAGCACTATTTTCCTTTGACTTGTATAGACTTTTAAATTATTTTGTGCATTCTTTCATTTTTATTTTAGTCGATCGTAATAGTTTCGGCACTCTTTTCTGACTTTCATAAAAGTCGTGCTCGATGTCTGTTCTGAATCTTTGATGGTTTTTATCCTTGCATTCACCCTGTTTCTTGCTGCTATATAGTTTGCGTGTTCTTCTGGTGTTTTGTTGCTTCTATATTTTAAGTATGCGTCTCTTTTTTCTCTGCATATGACTTTTACCTCTGTAAACCAGGGTTTGTGGACTTTTTTGTTATTTACATTTGTCTTTCTTGTTCCAAGTGCTTCTCTTGAAGCTGTTATTATGTTGTTTGTTATTTTTTTGCGGCATTGTTCTACATCATCGTTATATGTTATTTCGTTTTCTTCTATTTTTAATTCTTTTTTGATACAGAGTTTTTGTGCTTTCGTTTTCTAGTGATTCTGTGGTTGGATTTTCATCAAAAGTGGCCTCTGTAATCTGAATTTGCTTAACACTAATGATTTTCAAACTCGTCGTATAGTCAACAGTGATCAGGACCTAATAAGAAGGAAAATATATTGTATTTGTCAAAGCGAAGTTGTTCCTACGGTGGATAGACTGAAAACGAAGGTAGAAGAAGATGAATGCCATATAAATATAAATAAGGCATGGAGCACACCTTCACACGCTTCAACATTGTTCAAAAACTGAAGTCTAGGAATATTTGTTAGAAAATGAGATTTATTTTGAATTAAGTTACAACTTGTGGAAGTCCTAAATTTATATGCAATTTGAAAACAGTATGTATGCGAGCTCTAGTCCATACCGTGGAGCAATATTTTTGATTTAGAGAGTATAAGTGATAAAGTTTTTTTAATCATAATATTGTTTCGCTGTTAGATTTACATGCTCCATTGTGGAGGGCCCGATTCACGAAACGCAATAAGCCGTGGATAACTGACAACATTCGGTATTTAAATGCAACCAGGAATAAAGCTTTGCCACGCTACAATAAAACCAGAACCCTTCAGCATTGGGAATATTATAAAAGTCTTACAAGTTTTACAAGTTTAACGATACGCAGAGAAAAAAAAGATTTTTTGAATGTCAATTTCAAAATAACATAAATATTTGGAATAATTTAAGAAAGTTTGAAGCCTGCAACTTTAAGCCAAAGGTCAGTCTGCGGTTGAAACAAAGCTATTAGATCAGGACGCGACTTTATAAATCTTGCACTCTTATCGTAGCGCTAGATCCATCCATTCTCAGTTTCGGAACAAACCAAAATCTTATCGCCGCCACCATTTTGAAAGAATTATTATTGTTTTCATTTTGCAGGGGACAATGTCGACTGCTGGATGGAAATACAGCACGGCAAGGGTCCGTGGGCCCCACCCGTTAGCGGCATAGTACCGTTAGGATCGACGCTGACCTTGGTGGTAGCCATCAACGACTACAGAGGTTTGTTACAGTTGCGCGTACCAAATATTTGTCCTTGTAATAGCATAAATTTAAAAGTCAAAGGGATAATTTACCATAAAATGTTTATTTAACGTAATAAATAATACTTTCTGGGTCAACTCTCCAGCATACTTTTTTTCTTTACTCTTTCACTTATAAAAAGCCTTAAACGTATTTCAGAATTGCGGAAAAATTAAGCAATACATCTATACAACAGATGGTTAAAGTAACAGTGACGTGGAAATATAAAAAATGGTCCTCTCACTCTCTACACAGTTGACGTTTAGTCGCTAGAAATTATTTTAACAACACTAAATATATGTACATTATATCGACAATATTTCATTAGTCTAAAGTCAAGTCAATTTTTTTTTATTCGGAAACACCTGTAGCAACGGGCAGCAGACAAGGGGATAGCGTAAGCCCAATCTTGTTCATTATCATTATGGACGAAATCAAAAACGAAATAAACCAAACCGAGAAAGGATACGCAATGGGAGACAAAGAAATTATCTCAGAAGATAACCTGCAGATCCTCCTATATAAAGTCCAACAAATCTCCAAAACCTCTTACAATATCTAAAATAGAAAATAGAAATCTAGGTAGAAACATAACAAGTGATAGAAACCTAAACAATGAAGTAAAAGCCCAAACAACAAAGACAAGATTAATATCAGGATACCTAAATATACGAAGTACGATTATATAAACCTTGCATAACCCAACTACTAAACGGCTCTTAAGACCAACAGGACATACGTTATTCAATCGGAAGAGAAATGAAGAAATAAGGGCGATGGACAGACCATGTTGACAGAATGCCAAATGCAAAGGAAAAGAAACTAGATCTCCTGGACCACCATCTATATGATGGTATGCAAGCTGGTCCTCCTGGTTAGCCCTTGATGAAAACACAGGACCCAGTCCTAACGTAAGAAGAAGAAGAGGTAAAGGTGCCCCTCCACGAGGGTGGTTTGTCGGCGTGCAACAACCTCGGGACCGTTAACCGTAACCCACAAATTAAAACACGACGCACGTCTAGACCGGCGACATTAAATGATCGGTAAGACATTGGTTACGTGCCCACTTCATATTTGCATAATTTAGTTGAGGCGGAAAGGTGTCGCGGCCGGGCGGCAAGCTTTCCGAAAAAAGTCGACAGGAACCGGGTCGGGTACACCGGGAGGCGCACTAAACGCGATCGGCGAATTCGACGCATGCCTACGCCAGACACAATGTTAATCAAATATGTTGTTTACAACTATTTAGACGTTTTAACGGTACTCTGGCTTCTTTGCGACAAATTGGTACCGCCGCGAGAGATTCAGGTTTTGCGACGCGGCTGCTGCATCGTACCGGATCTGATAATTCGTAGCCGCCATTCGAAAGCCGCTTCGATAAACAAAATCGAAACTTATCAGAACTGAAATAACTGAAATGAGCAGATGAAAGGCACCAAAAACTACGTAAGATATTAAAAAAAACTTACAATAGTAGCGAAGGTAGCATCTTTCTTTTCTTAGTTTATGAGCTTCTTGATTCTTAAGTTGGAATTAAATTGCTTATTCCAAGAATCGTTAAACATGATTTAGTAGGGTTTAATTTAATATTGTGGTAATTAAAAAGGTCACTTAGAATATGCAAATCACAAAAGCCTCAGTGTAGTCACGAGTATCAAAACATCAACAATATAATTGCTTATATATATATATATATATATATATATATATATATATATATATATATATATATATATATATATATATATATATATATATATATATATATGATGACACTATATTCCGGGATATCATCCGTTCGCTCGTTGAACTCCGACTGGAATCCTGCATCCGACTGGAATCCTGCAAATCCTGCATCCGACTGGAATCCTGCAGACGTTTCGCCAAAATCTCACTTGGCATCTTCAATGCTCGCGCTCCGAAGACACTTCGAACACTGGGTGGCTGTAAAGGTCTCCTTCCCGTAAAGGTGTATGATATTCTCACGTATTGATTCACGGATGGAAAAATGTGATGACACTATATTCCGGGATATCATCCGTTCGCTCGTTGAACTCCGACTGGAATCCTGCATCCGACTGGAATCCTGCAAATACATTTTCCCCAGCGGTGCTTAAACTGTTCGAAACATTTTTTATATTCATCTTTGGCTATAGCCGACAGCTCATCCCTCGTTTTTTTCTTGACCTCTTCAATGTTGTCAAATCGCTGTCCTTTCATGTCCCTTTTCCTACGTGGAAATAAGAAGAAGTCACACGGAGCGAGATCAGGCGAGTAAGGTGCATGGGGCAGAAGAACCATGCAATTTTTAGCCAAAAACTGCTTAACAGAAATGGATGTGTGTGCAGGTGCGTTATCCCGGTGAAAGAACCAGTCCCCTGTCCGCCACAAATCGGGTCTTTTTTGTCAAATACTGTTGCGCAATCTTCTTAAATTTCCAGATAAAAAACTTGATTAACGGTCTCACCTGCATGACCTACGCCATTGATGTCGAAAAAGCAAATCAGCATCGTTTTGATGTTTGATTTGACCTGACGACATTTTTTTGGACGGGGAGACAGTGACATCTTCCATTGGCTGGACTGTTGCTTCGTTTCTGGATCGTAACCATAGCACTATGACTCGTCACCAGTAATGATCTTTGAAAGAAAATCTGGATCCGTTTCAAGCTGTTGATTCAAAGCACGACATGTTTCAAGTCGATGTTCTTTTTGCATGTCAGTCAGAACACGAGGAAGAAACTTGGTAGCAACTCTTTTCATTCCCAAATCTTAGGTTAAAATTCGCTGAACCGTGCTCCAAGACAACCCACTAATCTTTGATAATTGTTCAATTGTCTGTCGACGGTCAGTGAGCACAAACTCTCGAATCTTTTCAATATTTTCGTCTATTCGAGCAGTTGATGGACGTCCAAAACGAGCTCGGTCATCAATTCACTCGTCGCCATTTTTAAAGCGAACAAACCACTGGTACACTTGAGTTTTTCCCATCGCATCGTCTTTATCAGCTGTTTTTAACATTGAAACAGTTTCAGCAGCACTTTTACCGAGCAGAAAACAAAATTTCACAGCTGCACGTTGTTCTTTTAAACTTGCCATCGAAAAAAACGAAATAACTAAAAAACAGCGTTAACAAAAAAATGGCACTGCCAGTGAACAAAACAAGTTAAATTTAAAACGAAGGTGGCGTTGAACTCGCAATAAGTTGTACTATCCACAACCTGGCGGCAGAAAGGTGTACTATACAAGCTCTGCGCGCGGCAATTCAATTCCGGTTTTTTATGGGTACCCCTAGTATATTTTTTAATTGTAGCTTAAACTTAAGTTTTGGGCTTTTACAGAGTGTTTAAAATAAAAGAGGTTTTCATGTTCATGAATTGCTACAGGTATCTTCTAAGTTAATGATAATCGCCCATTTTTTATTTTCTGTTGATGAAATACGAATTTTAATGTATTTAACTTAACAATTACTAAGTTCTGCACTGCACGTTGGCCAGTCCAAAATTAATTTTGAAGCTGACACAAATATTATAGTAGTGCGTTAATTTTGATGTAAGTTTACATTTACCAAATATGATTGCTTATATTTTATTAATTAATTTCGTGCTTTTTCAAAGGAAAACAAAAAATATACCATTCGGTACCATTGTCTCGCATTGTCGTTCTTGCGCCTTGTCGTTGGTAATTACAAGGCGATTTGGTCTCTGTCTTCATGCGATTGTGAACAGGTGTACCGCACCGCCCCATTTACGGATATTTTCCACCAAGAGACCTGCTTCCTTCCTATTCTCTTATGCTTATGACCTTCTGTCCTGCACTTCATAATTGAAGAATAAGGTAACGTTTGCCTCGCAGGGCATGTCTCAGGCACTTAACGGTTGTCAAGTGCTCACGAACCGCTTGGACCAGAAATATAGTGCTTTTACAACCGAGCCCGTGATTAACTAACCCTGCCGAGCAGACCCTTACCCTTAACCGTTCCAGGACCGTCCTAGGAATTTATCTACCTACACTAACAAGCGAGATATAAGTATTTTTTCAATCTTTTTCGCCGAGCAATCCCTGAAACATGTACGTAAAAAACTAGTACAAAGTAACAATTTATGTCACTTAAAAAATCGTCACTATCGCTGCTGTCGTCACATAGTTCAATGATCTACACTGCCATTAATCGTTCTCGATAAATATTTTCTTCTTTTATTACTCGTTTTTCACAGTTAGACCAGCTTTGTACTGATATTTTAACTACCTCTTGTCGAATTACGTTTATGGTGCTGCCACTAAATTTTGGTGCAATGTTATTTCTTTTTATATAAGATTTCATGTCCGTTTTGTCGTGCTATCGAATCGATTTTGTAGTGTTTGTTAAAATGTCTTATTTTTAATAATTCCAGAAGCTGTTTTTCGTGTAGCTCTCTTTAAAATATGAATCATTTTCGTTCAGAAATTCTTTAATTTCTTCTTTGTTTGAAAAAGTATTTGGAATTTTTCTAATTTTTTCTAACAGTTTATTTTGAAACCAGTCTCCACCAACCAATCCACACCTGAATCTTTGACGTTTTAGGTGGACAAAAATAAGGCATCTTCCACCCAACCATTTTTGGACCCAGCATGAAGAATTACAGTTGACTTCGGAACTTTGGTCGTGTCACTTGTTTTTATTGCTACTCCTACTTTTGTATTTCTGCTGTATTTCTTATAAAATTCAAAACAATTCGGTTAGCATCTGAAGAGAAATGGATCCACGGTCTCCACATTTCAAAGTATTACAAAAACAGGAACCGTCACAAAATCTTTAATTGTAAGATTCCAATAAATATTTATCTGTATTCTTATGACGTACCTTTATCTACCGCGAATAGTCTCAAAAGAGTGTTGTTGTTTACAAATCAAAGAACTATGTAGAAGACGCAAAAATACAAGAAGAAGAATGTTGTTAATGGACAGGCACACTAGACAAAGATTTTAAAACTTGCCGTTAATGAAAACCAGTGAAAACAGATTCGCAGGGTCAGAGCTCGAGAATCAGGTACATAAACACGTACTTGGTGGAAGGATCACAGTCTCCGTAATATATACGAACATATTGCAATTTAGATATAGATTTATCGATAGAGACATATCACCTGATGTTAAAATAAACGTTTCTACTTATCCGAAAATACCCCGCAGCATCAATGCTTAATCAAATTTAAAACGATCTATTTACGTTTCAAATAAAAATTTCAAGTTTTTACAAATCTTCGTTACGGTCCATCTCAGGGAAGATCTACTTGATGCACAATAAACATCTGTTGAAATCGGTTTTACCACGGTCCTGCCAAATTCTCCGTTTAAGGTACTGTAAAATACTTCAAACGTCAAAGCAATAAATGCAGTATATTTTTGGTCGGATTATACCCATGATATTAGGAGCATTCGTCTGAGCACCATCATCAATGACTATCTTTATCATTACATTATTATGAAAACTTAAAAATATATATGTGCAATAACAAGTCTATTTTAACATATTTTACGAAATTTTTTTCTATTTACTGCCAAAATCCTTCGATGTCGTGGTGAAAGCGCTTCGTCGCGAAACCGGCAGCCATCACCTATCCGACGTTGGCTTTATCTATTCGAATGATAATTGCCAACTAGCTCGTACTTACCTATATCGATTCGTTTATCAAACGACATGCTCGGCAATACATTTATTGATGGACGTCAATTCGAGACCGTCGCGTTAACTTTAATGATCGAGCAATTAGCATAACCCGGCTCGCTTATCATCGTCGCGGATAACATGTTGACATTATTGATACGCTCATTGTTAGAGATCGGAATCGATAACCGCGTGACAAATGTGAGAAGACCGAGTCCGATGGTTATCCACTTCGTATAATACCGGTTTGCCGGCGACTGCGCCAAATTCAATTTGCTTCTCGTTGGTTCGGCTGACGGAAAACCTCTGCGGCAGTTGTCATTTCAAAAGGTTATTATTTAACATTTTCCAAAACTAAATAATGACCTTTGCAACTTTTTACTATGCATTGTGCAATTTCCTTTATCGAAAAGTAGAAAAGTTTTGAATAGTGCAAATGTCCGGTAAATAGAGACAAATCTTACCTTGCTGCATAAAATTAAGCAGAATATTATTTGTTAATTTTTCCAAGAAACCTCCACAGGTTACTGTAATACTGCAAAAACCGACGCAGGAAGAATCCAGAAGTTTTGTAAAAAGTAGAATATTAGTTGGGCCTGTTGCTGGCAACAAAAAAAAATACAAGTTGATTTAATTTTGCCTTGATTGTTTAGATTTTTTTGCATTATTTTTTTGCAATTTCTTGATTGAAATCAATATCTATACGTTCCAGCATAAAATTACCAATATTTTTTTATAGTGCTGGTTCCATGGAAAATCACACTTTATTAAGATTATGATAACATAATCATAATAATGGATATACACGAGGGGGTACCCAAAAAAAAATCGGAATCATTTTTTATAAATTATATATTGTTTTGAAAATCACAGAACGACCTTGTCCCCTTCAAAATACTCTCCATTACAACTAAAACATTTCTCCTAGCGGTGCTTCCACTGTTCGAAACATTTTTTATATTCATCTTTGGCTATAGCCGACAGCTCATCCCTCGTTTTTTTCTTGACCTCTTCAATGTTGTCAAATCGCTGTCCTTTCATGTCCTTTTTCATACGTGGAAATAAGAAGAAGTCACACCATGCCATTTTTAGCCAAAAACTGCTTAACAGAAATGGCTGTGTGTGTAGGTGCATTATCGTGGTGAAGAACTAGTCCACTGTCCGCCACAAATCGGGTCTTTTTTGTCGAATACTGTGGCGCAATCTTCTTAAAACTTCCAGATAAAAAGCTTGATTAACGTTCTCACCTGCATGAACTACGCCATTGATGTCGAAAAAGCAATCGTTTTGATGTTTGATTTGACCTGACGACATTTTTTTGGACGGGGAGACAGTGACGTCTTCCATTGGCTGGACTGTTGCTTCGTCACCAGTAATGATCTTTGAAAGAAAATCTGGATCCGTTGCAAGCTGTTGGTTCAAAGCACGACATGTTTCAAGTCGATGTTCTTTTTGCATGTCAGTCAGAACACGAGGAACAAACTTGGCAGCAACTCTTTTCATTCCCAAATCTTAGGTTAAAACTCGCTGAACCGCGCTCCAAGACAACCCACTAATCTTTGATAATTGTTCAATTATCTGTCGACGGTCTGTGAGCACAAACTCTCGAATCTTTTCAATATTTTCGTCTATTCGAGCAGTTGATGGACGTCCAGAACGAGCTCGGTCATCAATTGACTCGTCGCCATTTTTGAAGCCAACAAACCACTGGTACACTTGAGTTTTTCCCATCGCATCGTCTATATAAGCTGTTTTTAACATTGAAACAGTTTCAGCAGCACTTTTACCGAGCAGAAAACAAAATTTCACAGCTGCACGTTGTTCTTTTAAACTTGGCATCGAAAAAAACGAAATAACAAAAAAACAGCGTTAACAAAAAATGGCACTGCAAGTGAACAAAACAAGTTAAATTTAAAACGAAGGTGGCGTTGAACTCGCAATAAGTTGTACTATCCACAACCTGGCGGCAGAAAGGTGTACTATACAAGCTCTGCGCGCGGCAATTCAATTCCGGTTTTTTATGGGTACCCCCTCGTAGGCTATTTCATTAAATTATTTTCCACCCATATTTTTGGTCAATTAACTTCCCTTATTCCTTTATGACGGAATTAAATGAAATAAATCACACTTGATTAGCGGAGTAATAAAAACATGCATACGGTAGCGCCTTCATAAGTATATGTTTTTAGTGTAATGCATCGGTATTTGCTGTTGAGCTAGCGTACTCATAGTTTTACAAGATTAGTAATAAAATGACGATATTCACACCAACGAAAAGATCTTTTGATAATTCGCCACCATCAGTGAATAGTGTGACAATTGACCACTTCTTAATTGACTAGTAAATTCAATAACAATTGTAGAGCGTTATCTATCATTGTTTAATAATAATATGTATTTTATAATAAATTATTCTGCGTTTGTAGTCCCTTTGCATTTCTAACGAGGACTTATTACTCCAAACCTTTCATCATTTTGATGATGATCTGACAAATTTATGTTTTCAAAAGGCAACCAACCTTGCCAAAAAGTTAACCCTACTTAAAATTCAAACGCTCCAATAATTTCAAATAGATATGGCAACGCTGCATTCGTCAAAATGTTTTTAAATTTTAGATTATTAGTATTATTATTATTATTATTATATTGTTAGAAGATGGAACATGGAATTTCAATAGGACACGCCCTGTGTATTACAGCCCTTTTTGTTTTCCCAGGCGAGTTCGACATGCGAGTGAAATCGTGCATCGCTTCGGACGGCGCGGGCCACGTGATCCAGCTCTCGGACGAATTCGGATGCGTCCTCAGGCCGAAGATGATCAGTCGGTTTTTGAAAGCCAGGGGCGCCGACGAGAGGGCTTCAGTTATCACGTACGCGTTCTTCCACGCGTTCAAAGTAAGCGACCGTCCCGTATACAATCAGTAAAAAGACAGGGTGCATATTTTTGAAAAAAAATAATAAAAACTCAATATATTTTTGAATATACATGGTGGGTCAAAAAGTAGATGTCGATATCTTTTTTAAACAGAACACATTTTTTTAAATTAATTTTCTGCTTCAGCATTTAACGCATCAAAGACATAAGACATAAGCTTAACAGTGAGTAAAATTAATAGATTTTTTTTTAATTTATAGAAAAAACAAATGAGAACAAAAGATAAAATATTTCATTAGAAGTTAAAATAATGATATTAGTCAACGAATAGATTGCATGTATTAAACGAAGTAAAGGATAACTAACGACTCAAATAAGGTTTAACTATTGAAATTTAGTGGACAGTACTCTTCGACTTCAGTCAGCAACGACCCATAAACTATTTTTTCCTTATAATATGTTAGAAATGGAGATTTGTTGCAGGAGGATTTGTTTGGAGACATATGAATAGTGGATATTAAATAATAATTATAATTATTACAAACAACCTATATAAAAATTACTGATCGACTTTTGAACAACTTCTTAAATACTGCCTTCAAATACAGTATAGACATGTTTTTGCGTGCTGTTTTTTTTTTAATAATAATTTTAACAAAAAAAAATAAATCGCATTCAGTTCCCCGACGCCCTGAGCGTGCACATCAAATGCAAAGTGGAGATCTGCAGGCACGGTTGCCTCGACCATTGCCAACTGCACCCGGACAAAAACGACGGTCTGGGCGCCATAGCGGATCACTACGTCAACACGCTCGATCGCAAGGACGAGAAAATCGACTCTACTGAAATCAAAGACAGGTAAAATTAAAAATTACGTTTTATCCGACGAATCCTCGTTCGAAACCAAATATATATTTTTTTTAATTCAATTAATTTTTTTACTATTTCAAAAGAACACACACTGACATTTTCGCAAAGTTTGATGTTTTTATTGATGTTTGATTTTTTATTTCTTATCCGATTTTCGTAATTTTTTTATTATTTTTAGTTTTTCAATGGATGAACTTAATAGAGGCAAGTTCGGGTTACTTATATCAATAAGGACATATTATTTTTGTTTTTTGGATTCCACGTGACTTATTTAATTGAATCTGTGTTCTTCTCCTATTACCTAAAGTAAAATGAATGCTCATTGTCTCATAAACCTTCCAAAAAAATAAAATTCTACCCATCTCTGCCTCTCCATTTTATAAAAATATCTTAAGGTACCTATGTAATAGTAACATTATAGGTTTTTTTATTCGTCTCCTCTCAGTTTCATGGCGAGTTTTCGATTTACAGATTTCTCCATATTGCCAAAATATATAAAAATGATATGTTCAACAAAAATATAATGAGGCCTTGTTCCTCGAGCAAATTTTGAAAATACAATAGATATAAAAAAAATTAGATAATGCATAAATAAACATGTACGCCTTTGTTTTATAAAGCATAGGGAGCAAGGGAGGGGGTAATCCTATGGGTGCCACGCAATATACTGATCTTCAATCGGCTGTTTATTTTTAGTGACAAAATGTCACACAATTTTCAGAAGATTACTGTTTGAAGGAGGAATTACAATGCCTGAAATTAAATCTCTCTTCTGTATTGTGTGATATCTGTCGAAATTACCAAATTAGATGAAAAACTCATTTTCAGTTTTTATGTTATTTTACAAGTTTTAGCTAGAGGATTTAATATTAATATTTAATATCAGACAACTTTACGAAGAGGCCAGCAATAAAGAGTACCGAAGATACAGGAATGCGAGAAAATGCAGCAGGCTTGCAAAAAATTTTGATGTATTTCATAATTTGTTACTTTCGTCTGATCCAAAAATCGCAAATTTACGCAAAATCGAAGCTTTAAATAAAAACAGATTTAGTCCCGAAGCTTTAAATTTGCTATAGCCTTTCAAAGAAAATATTAAAATCCTGAGGGAATCAGACTTGTTAAAGTTGATTCTGTTTATTTTGAAATATATTTTTTTAAATCGGTTCCTACAAAAACTACAGATTTGCCATTACTTGCTCATCCAAACTCAGATACTCTAATTTCTGATCCCAATATTTATCACACAAATAATTTTAGATACCGCATCTTCTATTTTCTAAATAAATGGCTCATAAACACAACGAAGAAGCATTAAGCTTTTTACAAAACTTCTGGATTCCTCCTGCGTCGGTTTTTGATTAGTCGAAATTGCTGACGTTTCGCTAATCATCCTGTTGGCTTCTTCAGAGTTTGAGTGAAACTGGCTCGTATTTTACTCTGTACCTGCTTATACATTATTTGAGGGGGGCGTTAATGAGGGGTAGAAACACCGCCTCGGATGACTGATTCCCAAATTAATGGCAGGTAGAGACCTGAGTCGCGGTTAAGATTGTTAGGTTACTTATAGTTTTCTATATTTTTTATTTCTATATATATATATATATATATATATATATATATATATATATATATATATATATATATATATATATATATATATATATATATATATCTCCTGGAGAACCTTAAACCCGGCGACGCGCCAAATTACGTTCCGCGTGCAAAATCGTGAACACACCCACCTCGGTTGGGTTCGCGTGAAACCCGATATATCCGCTAACGGTAGACGCGATTCCCACGTGACCGAGGCGGACATTTTGACGAAATATATTAATGGCGGGTCGTGCGACCCCTTGCCTCGCCCTACGCGTAACACTTTTTCCCCTTTCTAGGATGCCGGACCCGGTGGACCAAGCGCTCGACGATGACGCCCAGGACACGCTCTACGACGACATCCTCAGCGAGAATCAGGCGGCCATATCGTCGGGCGAGGCCTTGCCCGCTATCAAGATGTCGCTAAACGCCAACATGAACCCCGACAAACAGAAGAAGAAACCGTGGACGAAGACGGGAGACTCGAAGGAAAACAGGAAGAACGATCACAAGGATGGCGGTGGCGACGTCAAGCAGGTGGTCGAGCATTTCGACGAAGATGAGCAGATCACCGCCGTGCCTCACAAGGTAAGTGCTTGGAATGTAAGGGGTATTTCGCGAAAAAGTGAAAAAAAAAAAAGAAAAAAATTAGCTTTGTATTTCAAACAGAGGCCTCTTCGCGGTCTCTTGTCCTAGAGGGACGCATTGTTTTTCTTTCGTACTCCTGCGGACCACTATGGAACTTTCGCAAAATCGATGTAATTTTTTTGTTCATACACACGGCATACGTTTAACCGAATTTCAAAGTCACGACAAACTTTGATAAATACACAAAATTGTATATTGTATGTTCGGGCGTGTTCGGAAATAAAATAACGAACGAACGAATTCCAATGATATTATTCCAAGTATCTCACGCACCCTGTATGATAGACGAAACCTGAAACTCTCTCGATACAGTTTACCACCTTGTTTAAACGAAATTATCCCATGTTTAATAGTTTTTCCTTTACGCCTAATATTTTATCCTCGAAAACGGTAATTTTCAGTTTCTTTTAGATATTTTTACCTATAATCGACACATCCTGTATATAATGAAAAAAATGCGGAAATGAGGGTTATAGCTCTGGATGTCCTACGTTTGCTGGTGCAAGAATTCTTCTAAAATTGTAAATGGTTTTCGAGAAAATATTTTTTTTCTGAAACTATGCAGTGCGCCGTAAGAATCAACGTCATTGCGTCTTGACTAAACCCAAGGAACAGTGATTTTCATATTTATTTTTTCAAATACCTCGAGCAGCGTGTGTGATAGACGAAATATTTAATATAAATAATAATTTACTCTGGAAAAGAACAATTTTTCGGATCTTTTAAATTTTTGTGTATAATTGGAAAACCCTGTATATAATCGAAAAAATGCCTTAAAAATATTATAGCATTGGATCTTCCGCGTCTGCCGGTTATGGAATTTTGCCGATCGGATGAATGGTTATTCAGAAAAGCATGTCTCTTTGGAAGCCAAAATAACAAAAAAAAAAAAAACGGTCTTTTAGTTATAGCCACTTTTCACTATTAGGGAGACCCATTTTTCAGTTTTTTTGAATATGCGGCCCACTCTGTACATTCTTAAAAAAATATCATGAATAAATGAACGGTTGCTTAAACGGTTTTCGAGAAATGATTTTTTTTGTTAGTCCCTTGGAAACGCGATTTTTTATTGTTTTTTAAATACTTCCCGAATCCCCAACCAGTTAAGGGACCAAACGCTATTTGCTAGCCAAATCTGAAGTCGATAGCTTCAAATTTCGGACACTTATCGTGTTTTATAGGGATGTCCAAAAAACAGTCGAAAATCGAAAAAAAAAAACGGATGGACGCCAAAGCTTGACCATGGCCATTTTTACATAAAAAACCCTGGAACCGGGAACGGAGAACGAACATACAAAAAAAATTTTTTTTTTTCGAGGCTGATTATTTCTGTGCCAATGGCGGTCCTCTAGGACCCACCGTTACCCAGATCTCAAGCGCGTATACTTTTGAAAAGAATGGATTTTTCGAAAGTAACTAGCGTTCCTGTAAAGCGGATTTGAAAAATGAACTGCATTTTTCTCACCCTTCTTCTTTTTTAATATAAGGTCTTTTATTATAAAAAGCTTTCCATATTATAGAGGGTGTCCAAACATTAATTCTAATCTGATATACCATATATTTGCCACTAATTATCCATCGAATGGTGTTAGTCCTTTAACTTTAGTTAGCTCTTGGTGCCATCTTTTACACGTTTTTTATGCAATTAGGTGAGCATACGTCATTTAAAAAAATTACCGGTGATTTGTTGAAGAATATTTTTGAAATAATGCAACTGTTGTTTCATTTATTTATTTATATATATTTATTTATTTATATTTAACTCCGAGGTAAATAACTTTTATTGTAAACTGATGAAGTGCACCTGTGCATCACTGAATTGGAAATTTTACGCTCTTTCCAAAATTCGGAAAATCCAATATGGCGGCCATAAGAAAAATGAAATTTAAGGCGGTTTGCGAGATAACGAAAGACGGTTGAGACGCTATCTTAGTCGTCCTAAAAAAGGGTCTGAATAATATCAAAGTTTGACAGCTGTCAATTTCGATTCTAGATCTGAAGTAGGTTATCAAATGCACTAAGTAATAATAATAGTATAAGAGTATAATAGATATTGTTAGATTTTCCGTTTCGCCATCAATTTCTGGTAATTTTTGTATAATACCTTCCTATACCTATCGCTTTTCAAAAAGTTAAATATTTTTCTGATTTTCTGTTCAAAGGTCTCATGCAATAGTTTTATGCAGACAGAGTACACCAAAACAAGTTTCTGTAGGAATTGGCTTATTTGCCTTAAGTGGTTCAGTCAATTCGATTGAACATTTTGAAAATATGACAGTTAACGGTCAATAAATACTTTGGGGGACTTTGATAAATCAAGAGAGGTGCAAATAATACGTTAGGGTTAGGTAACATAAAACGTTATTCTAGTTTTGACCGCAGAATCTAAAGATCCGATGAAAAAAATGCAACCTTGATACTTTGGGGATTGGCAAATTTTCTGAGATTAAATATAGTATTTATTATATAATACCTATAGTATAGTATAGTTTTAAAGACGAAAATAATACAGTAGACCGGAAAAATTATAATAATATATAATAATAAAACGGTTAGAAATATTGATAAACATGTCCTTATATTTTAATGTTATAACGTTTAAAAATAAACTTTTCGCTCTACAAAAAACCCTCGCAAAATGCCTCGCGGCAATTTTAATCCCAATTAGTATTTATGAATAGTTCGTTTTTCATTTAGGAGAAGCATTTTCTGAAACATGGAACTTGTGTTCCAATTTTGGATCTGTTTGAGAGAGGAGAATTATCTCGGATAATCAATTAATTTTAATTTCAACTAATAACAATATATCGATATCAATATCTGGTCGTCAATAGATAATTTTCCGTTTTAACGAAATCGTTTCTAACGTTAAGCAATTTTTACAAATTGGCATAAATGGTGAAATTCCACTTCAAGAAAATGATAGATGTTCGTTTAATTTATTTTTTACAACATCGATCAACATTAATGAGTAAAATATGAAGGCACAACAAAAAACTGTCTTATTCTCAAATCTGTAGGTTTAAATACCAAAAAACAACACTTATTTTCTAATGATTTATTACAGATGAATAGGTAATAACACATAATATAAAAAAATATATAACTCAACATTCGCAAAAAAAATCTCTCTATGGCTGCGGTGGCAATATTGCAAAAACTTTGGACTCGGCAGATCAACCTACAGTTCTATGAATTATGTCAATGGAAACTCCATTGCATGCATCTTTTGATGTAGACGCGTGTTTTGAGAACTGAATTGTGAAGTATAGACCCCACTAAATGCAAGCATTGAAGCATTAAGTTATAAATTAAATTATGTCGTGAGTGCAGAGAGGAACAAGATCGAATCAACACCGAAAAATTTCGATTCCAAGCTAGTTATGAATTAAGTTGCTTTCATATCTTGGACAAGAACAGTAAATCGGAAAATTGTAGCGTCTCCAACCCAGTTTACGATAAACCAAATTATCCCAAAATAAATAAGGACTACAAGTTTTTTTTTGGGTATTTTTTAACATTTTTATCCAAAAAATGTTCCAGTTGGAAGTAATAGCTCTCCCACGTTTGCTAGTTCGTAAATTTTTCCAGTACAGTAAATGGTTTTCGAGATAATCGTAATACAAAAATTGTAGCTCTTGATGCAGCCTATAATACCGTTTGAACCAATTAACCATATTTTCTACAAATTTTTGATTGATTTACGACAAATAATTGGCGCAAAGAACAACTTTGAGGATCTTTTAGATTTTTGGACTATAATTGAAAAAATGGTTCAAATAAAAGTTATAATAACGGATCTTTCGCGTCTCTTGCTTAAAGAATTTTTCCGATTGGGCTATTAGTTTTGGAGAAAATAATTTTTTTCTATAAACCAAAATTACCTAAAAAAAAAAATTCAAAAACTTTTAAAAAATACTTTTTTTTTCATCAATTTAAATGCAAGTGGGGACTTCTACTTCTGTGCTAGATCTGAAATCGGTAATTGTAAATTTAGGCTACCTATTACATTTTTTAATATTGCACCGAGCATCACGAACACTCTGACAATAGTTTTAGCTATCTATACGGACTATATCGTCATGTAAAAAAAAAATTGATATCTGAAACGCAGTCTTTCAGTTATAGCCAATTTTCAATAATAGCGACGCTGTAGAACGCACCAATATCTGGAGTTTAGTGAGGAGCGCGTATATAAGAATCGATTTCATCGATATGCGGCAAAAGTTCGACGCGGCCCTAGCGACGTTCCTCGCGGAACGCCACAATTAACGCCGCAATTCGAAAAACGGCAACGGCCGGCCGGCATCGAAGAAGAAGCAAGAGAGATAGAGAGAGAGAAAGAAAAAAAACGGCATTCTTTTGTCTCCGTACCAAGAACGTTCGGCCGTTAACATTTTAAATACCTTTGATTACAAATCAACCGTTTTTAAAAACAGTTTAACACGAGTAATTAACGTCTATGCGACGATCCTTATGAGGCCTTGCCGTCCGTTACGTCTAAATGTTCGCCTATATCGTTCTTTGTATCGCTCCCCGCGCCCGCCTCGCGTCCTCATACCATTTCCGAAGCGGAAAAAATACTTTAAAACGCCACGGACCACCTGTCGCGTTTTTCTCACGCGTTTTTCCCTTCAAGGACATATTCCAATACGAAAAGTTCCCCCACGGCCCGAGGACGTTCCAAGAACCGCCGGTGCCGGCACCTAGGAGCCTCGGCGACGAGGTGCCGCCCGCCCTCGACGCCCCAGCGTCGAACTCGACCCAGACCGGCAAACCCGTACCGCTGGTAAGACTTTTTATCAATAGCGCGTATTTTTTGATCGCCCCTCGTATATACCGACATCATTTTCGGAAATATGCGCCACTGTTGTATTTAACTTTTTTTCTGGACAATAGGGAACAAAATGTAACATTATTTGCCGTGTCACCCTCCATAAAATTATTTTTCTACTCCCGTCTGTAAAATACCTAATTACACACCGATCTAGCGTCCGGAAAGCGTCACTTTACAACCTCAGTTTTGTTTCCCACTGCTCCGAGCCACTTCGGACATTTCCGGGATTTTACCGGACGGCTTTGTTGCCGCACGCTTGGAATTTTGAAGTTTGTCAATTCTGACGGTCATATCAGTGAATGATTGTATTAGTGTTGTTTTGTACCCGAAAACTAATACACAGATAAATGTTATGGAATAAATCAGACATTTTAAATACTACGTGCTATAACCTACAATTAAAATCTAGCGGACTAGTCGGTAAGTAAAGTGACAGAATTTAAGTTTCCCACAGAAATTTTACATACCGTTCTCTTGAACATTAATGGTTTGTACAGTTTTTATATTAATATCTTGCCAACACCAACAGTACGATTTCCAATTATCCATGTCCCATCAGTACAAACAAAACAAAATTGAAGGTTAGGACCTGCTTTTTCTTGCTTTTACCATCTTAAAAATTTAAACCTCTTAAAATTTCTATCCTTAGATAATTTTTCTTCCAATGACAGTCCTTTTCTTTAATGATCAAATGTAAAATAATACATCTCTCGCTCTGTCTAACCTACGCAGCTAGAAAGTGACAGTAATATCAGAAATGATCGGAACGATAAACGAATAGGTTTAACGGCAACTAAATATTTTATTTGAATGGTACCAAATTTAGTAATCTGATAATCTGTTATTATTTTTAATTTGTGAAATTGTGATTTTTTCGTGACGATCGCAGAAAAAGTATAGCATAATATACTTAGAATTTTCTACTCCCTTGTGTAAAATAATCTAATTATACACGGATTTCGTATGATCTAGTAGTGAATTGTTGCATAATATACCATTCCCACATCTTGCCGATTTTCTAAGATATTATCCTTTCCCGTAATATGAGGATCACTCACCAGGTCAGTCGAGCTATATTCACTCACCAAACGCACTAGCAGTTTCCAATTTGAACCGCACATCGCCGTTTTATTAAACTCGCCAATTCCGATTGACGTTTCGACTGACAATTCGCAACGCGTTCCATTGCCAGGCCTACTGAGGCAAAGCCGCTGCGATTTTGGATTTGGACGGATCGCGACACAAATCGAGGTGTCCGTACGTACCGTACACCAGAGAAATTTTCGATGCCGACGCTTCGCGCAAGCGTGATGTTATGAAATACCTCACAGACGTCGTTCTTTTTTAGCAATTTTACCCGCACGGTTAAAACGGTGCGGATAAGTTCATCAGTGTGTGGCCAAAAACTGTCCTTTTTGCCGGCGTTCAAATATATCAGCCACTGCTTGATTTTAACCGTCCGTTTTAAACGCGTTCGTTCAAGTCTGTCAGTGTGTGGTGGGAAAACAGTTAAGAAGGACAGTTTTTATCAGTGTCGACTCACTTATTTTACACAGCAATAATTAGTGTTAGTTTTGAGTAGTGATTTTAAAATTATATTGTTGAATAAAAATATATTGCTGTAGTTTTTACAATGACTCACTTAAGAAATTACAACAAGCAATTTATAATTAACTCAATAGAACTGTATAGATGCTATCCGTGCCTGTGGAAGGTTAACTCTACGTAGTATTCTGATAGAGATAACAAAAATAAAGCTTACGAAGATGTGATAAAAAAGTTAGAAGTAGATAACTCGGCAACAAGAGATTTTAATTTTAACCCATTTGGAACGTTGTTTTTTAGAATATTTTATTTTAATAGCAACTGCGGCCGCTACTGCCAACGCCATCGTCAAATCCATCACTAATGATTTTTGCCCGCAATTTCAAACAAACTGAACGAAACATACAAAACAACGCGTATATGTGGGGGGAAGTCGTTGATCGTGTTTAACCGTGCTGTTTGACCCGCGCGGGTAAAATTGCTAAAAAAGAACGACGTCTGTGGGGGCCTTTATATCGCGGTGCTGACAAGACTGTCGAATTAGACTGTAATCGAAATGAATTTCGTCGCGTAGTGTCAGACTTCGACGAATTTTTCGTATTGAAAGTTGGGCAACTATTTGTTCATTAACAATTAAGGGCTAAATAGCATATTATGCAACAAGTGCGGTAAACGACATTTAAGTCACGGGTGTATTTAACACGAGCGGAGCGAACGAGTGATTTAAGAATTTTACCAAACGCACCATACTAGTAGTCAGCGAATGTAATTGTGTTGTTTTGCAAAAACTAAAAGTCGTAGAGAAAGCTATAGTTTTTCTACGACCGCTCGTGCCAAATAAACCCGTGACTCAAATGCCGTTTGCCACACTTGCTGCATAATGTACTATTTTTTTACTTGTAGTTGAAGCTGTGGTTTTTTCTTGGAAAATGAATTACGTAAAGTTGTGCGCCATGAAAATCGTTACAAAAGGAACTGCTTTGGCTTGAGTGAATCGGTTAATATGCAAAAAAGTATCGGACAAGTTTTATGCCCAAGTCCGGTCTGACAATTTTAAGTAAAACTAATCAATGTATTTCGCACAATTGTTAATAACTTTTTAGGTTTTTTTTACTTGCGTATTTGAAACGATCCTGAGGATATGTCGAATGTGAAGCGCCCAAGTGTACTTTTAACGTCCTAATCAGAGACCTCCTATCACTGGGCACATATATACTGACTCTGCAAATAACTACGATTTTAAACTATTGCCGCGGCAACAGTTCGGAAAAAAATGATCGGGGATTTTTGCTCACGACAGATTAACCGTTTCACTATGTCAACGTTCATAGAATACAACTGTCATTTAGCACATCCAGTTATTGGCGTTTAGATCGCATCATCATCGAGTTGTTCTAGTTGTTTATAACAAAACAATAGACCATGGTTTTAAATAATTATTTAAGCCATTTAAAATGCATATCTTATAATTTTCTTCTTTGACATTACTAGAATAAGCCTTCAAATAATAAAAAAAATGGCTAAAATTAGTATATTATGCAACAAGTGTGGTAAACGGCATTTTTTACTCACTTATTCTTATTCACCGATCTAGCGTTACGGATCCGAGCCGCTTCGCTTCGTTAGTGCCAAATGGCGTTTACCGCACTTTACTTTTACCAAACGGGTTGCATACTATACTTTTTTTACAGCCTTTAGTTTTTGGGTACACTTTTGCAAACGACGCGAATATATAACCCCCCGAGGTTCGATAAATGTCAAAATTCAAGCCGTGGGGTATTATCTGCGCAAAAGATCAGTCAGTGGCTCATATCTAGCGATGTGCCGAGTACGGTTTGACTCGAGTCAGATTCGATTCGATTCCTGCTGCAGGTACTCGAATCAGAAAGAATCGATTCGTACTCGCGGACTCGATTCTATTCATGCGAGTCCAACTGACTAGAGAGTTTAGTATATCTCATTTTAGGTCAACTCGTTCGTACTCGTAAATAGTTTAGAGATTGACAATACTTCAATTATCTCCTCTGCTCAAAGTGATTCCGATTTATTAAGTGTAGCTTCTGGTTCTGGCGATGGAACACCAGTCCACGAGGACAAGAACTCCAATCTATCCCAGTTGACAGACGGCGAGACACCACCAGCCCCACCACCACGTAAAAGGCAACTTCAAATGACATTTCCGTCTAAGCAAGCTCTGAAGATGAACTCTAAAAATGTGGATAAAGCATTATTAAGAATGGTGTGTGTTGATTTTCAGCCGCTTCAAGTCGTTGAGAGTACAGGTTTTCAACAGTATACTCGTGCGCTTAACCCTAAGATTCTTTGGGAAAAATTAATTCCGGAGCAATATTCTTTGGCAAGAAAGGCTACGCAAGAGATGCTTAAAGTAACAGATTACATTGCTTTGACACCAGACTTGTGGACCTCCGATAGCAGCAAAAGCAACATGACCCTGACAATTCATTTCATTTATGATGGCAAGTCTAAAACTTTAACGTTATCCACCAGGCAAGTTAAAGATGCCCATACCTCAGAAAATTTAGCTCGAGAAATAAAAGGTATATTGGAAACCGAATGGAATATTTTGGACAAAATCATTTGCGTCACAGCTGACAATGCGGCTAATATAAAAAAAGCTGTTATTGATAACGCTAACGAATGGATAGAGGTGCACGAGTGCCTTTGTGTTTTAAAACCGGTGGAACAAATGACGGGTATTATATCTGGCGAGCAATATCCAACGTTATCCTGCATCATACCTGTTATTCGAGGAGTACAAACGGCACTAAGAAGTTGCAGTTCCAATTCCGAAGTCGCCAGCAGGTTAAACATAAAATTACTGGATGTTTTCGATAGAAGATTTGGCCGTCATGAGATCAATAAAACTGTTGCTGAAGCAAAATGATCCGAGATTTAAAAAAGCTGGTTTTGGCGTCGAGACAAATTTGTTGTTGACGAGTTGACGATGTTGGAAACAAAGGAATATCAAGCTCAATTCCAGGTACCTAATAGATCTCTACTGTCATCTACCTCACGTCTCATTAAACATATTGATTTCTCGAATGTTGGACTCGAGTTACTAGACTCTAGTCCGCCCGAACTCGAGTCATATTCGGATACTAAACATAGAATTCGAGTACTGGACTCGAATCAGGGAATCGAATCATGATTCGAGTACCATATAATCTGGCTCGAGTCGACTCGATTCACGGAAACAGCGACTCGGCACAATTCTACTCATGTCCATGACAAACCAAACTGATGTTATAAAATGCTAGATCCTTATATAATTGGGTATTTTAGAGAAGGGAGTGGGCGAAAAATGTTGAATATTTTTACTTGCATAGTGGAAACACATTTTATTTGACTAAAGCGAAGACAATTTTGTGTCATACATTAAAAATTATATCAAATTGTGCATGATTTTTATTTGATGACGCATCTAAACTTCCAACCCGCTTTCTGCAATAAGTTTCATATTAACGCAAGAATACTTACAAGAGTTGTATTGATACTCTGTTTTGGCTTAATCTTAAAATTTAACTAATTCATTTTAGTGGGTAATTCTAAAGGAAAACGGGCTTATCTAAGCCGCAAGTTTAAGGAAAACAATAGTAATTATGCAACAAGTGCGGTAAACAGCTTTTGACGGCGTTCGGTCCCGTTTCGGAAAGGCTCGGTGAAGCTCGTCTCGCCGGGGATCTCGATGTAGCAGACGGTCAAATGGTACACTTTGTAATTTGACAGTCGATACTAGATAGATATAAGCCGAATACGAATTAGGAAATGGGTGCTTGTTTTAAAGGTACAGGATGTACATCGGGTGCTAAATTCCTATGCATACTATCAATTATTGTTTCCAGAAAAACATAGGTGCTGCAACCCGCATTCAAAAGAATATTTTTTATAAACCCGTGAGCATCTTTGAAATATTTTGTTGTCATTATCGCCACCTATTTACCACATTACAGCCACCTGCTAAAAGTTGACATCTGTCCAATCAAATTTATCGAAATTTCATGAATGACAACGGCCACAACAAAATTCATTTTTTAGCAAAATAGGCAGGGTTTACACCTGATGATGGGAATAAAACTGATTGTAAGCTGACTGAATTCACTATGCAATTTGTCCTAGCCAGTTGCGAGTAAGCCCGGGGGTATTTCCCATAGCCTAATGAGAATCACATAAAAATGTACTTACGGTGATACAAAAATACTTTCGATCTACAGCATCGTGGACCTGGCTTCTGGACTCACGGCCTTTTTTGTGAGCTACTATAAAATATTAAATCAACTTTACCTCGTCCCGTTGCACCTTCTGCGTGAATAATACATAAAGTCGTCGTGAAAGACTATTTGTAAGGGGTTCTGTTCATGTCCTGCATTACCCTATGAATTTACTACCCACAATTAACCGAATTCATGTTTAAAAAAACTAATAAAATGTTAACTTAGATAAACCATTTTAAATAAGTTTTAAATTTCCACTTGGATTGTTTCAAAAATACGAGGAAAGTGAAGAATTAGTCAGAAAATTTAAATGTGAATTAACTAGGACGATTTTTTTTCTTTTCGTGTTCTCCCCCAGCTGGAGAAGAACAAGAGGCGACGCCGCTCGATGGTCGTCTCCGATCGGAAGGCGAGGAGCGCGGACGTCGGCGTCAGCGGCCTGTACGAAGTGATCTCCGAGGCGGACCTCGCGTTCAGCCCTGAAAACAGGGCGGAGGCGGTCACCGTGTTCCAGGGCCGTATCCGCGAGGAAGTCGTCTACGGGATATGCATGCCGGTGCCCGGATTCAGCATCCTCTTCGTCTTCGTCGCCGTCTCCGCCGTGGTCTCCGCTCTGGTGGCGGGAACCTTGCTCTACAGGTACCAGGTGCAAAAGGAACAGCTCGCACATCAACAGAACGGCACCATACCGATGGGCCTCTTCTCCAACTGGATCGGGCTCAAGTTTGCTAAACACGCCGCGCCTTCTTCGAGGAGGCGAGGCGACGGCACCGTCGTGGAGGACACGTCACTGTCGATGAGCAGCGGCGGCGGTAGTGTCAACGGAAAATCGATTTCCAGCAGAGAATGAATAAATTTCGGACCGTAGATTATTTCGTGGAAGTCCAAATGGCATTTATTTGTAAATAACGCCGCAGGTTTCCACGGCATTTTGTTTTGTAAATACTAGTGTAAATTTACGGTATAGTTTATTATTTATTGAACGTACGTGATAAATGCCCAAAGCGTTGCGTAACGCGGATTTTTTTGAGGTTATTGCGTACGGCGTGGTGCGACATCACGCTGGGTTGACAGTTATGGTACTTGGTACTCTAAGTTAGGCTAGGTTTGTATATTGTATTTGAAAACGGAAAACGGGGGAGCCGTCCGCGCCGGCCAGGGGCGCCTTTTTGGAATCGCCGTTGCTCAAAAGTTATTTACGAATGTTGGTGCTTGGAATTAACTTATTTCTCGTTAATGTAAATGTATTATTTTAATTATTTCGAGTGTGTAAACTAGTACTACGTGAGGATAATAAGAAATCATTTTAAACATGTGTATATACGATGGGAAATTGTTTTATTTATTAAATATTATTGTTATGTTTACTGTTAGGTTAGGATTCATTTGCTCACCTTTACTGGCCGAATAGTATTAAAAATAGAGGCTATATATATATTAGTAATTTTATTTTTTTTCTTCGTCACTTTTTATATGTTATTTTGTATATAACAGTTTGGGAAAATAAAACGAAAAACGTAACAATATTTTACGAGTTTTATTTATTAAATATTTTGAACATCTTGCGCGTATGACATAAGTGTTAGTAGATAAATACTGACATGTTCGCGTTGGGGTGGGGATTGCCCCCTCGCCGTTTCCTCCCTTCTTTTTGTCTTCATTAATTCGGCGAACTGTCAAACATCCAGGGTGAGCTATCCCTTGTTTTGAACCTATATCGATTTTTTTCCTATTTCGAGTACGGACTGATTTAGATATGAAAACAGGTATTTACAAATTCTCAGGGCAATTTGTTTAATTTCAAATATCTTCCTTCGCATTTTGGTTATAACATGAAAGTTATGCTTTTTCTATGCAGATAAATGAATTATCATTTTAAACATATATAACACAAAAAAATACTTTTTTTTTAAATAAACTCTATTTAAAGCAGGAGTGAATTTCATCCGTCAAAAGACTGTCAGTTAAAATGACATTTTTAAGCCAGAAAGTGAAATATTTGAATTTTACAGTTCTGGAACTCTAGGCACCAAAGATTTATATTTGAAGTTTTGTAGCCATCTCGCATAATTGGTTTTGGAAGAATTTGGTGGGTGTAATTCGCTTACATGTGTCCGGTGCATTCGATATACGTCAGTTCGGTCAAGTATTATTTTAATTTAGTTTTTTATTATTACTACTAATTTAATCATCTATAACTACATATTCCAAAATTATAAAAAAGTATCATATACCAAATTCTATTTTACACCTTCTAACTCAAAAAAAAATAGTTTTAGGCTTTGACAGGCATCTTAGCACACAATCAAAAAAGGAATATCTTAGGCAACTATGATTTAATCAGTTTTCAAAAGTTGTCCATACACTGAGAAGAGAAAATAACACTCGATCCAAAATTCATTTTTCCGAAGCTTACACCATACACAGAAACACGAAAATTTATTTACTAAATTAAATCGTTTTTTTTAAGTAATAAAAAAACAGGTCGTCATATTAAATTTTACATTTTATTCACGTTTAATCTCCGACCCAAACGAATTTTCCTTAAATCAAACCCAAGCTTCCACGAAATCCAACAATATGCAAGAAGAAGACCGTTTTCACTTTTTTTTTAAATACAAAAAAAACTCTTTTGAATTTACCAAGAAATTTACAATCTATGGAGCCTTTAAGGGGCTATGCGGGGGCGTACGGAGGGTGGAAAGGGGAAAGTTAATTCCTATTTTGAATTATCTCTATACAGGTACATGCGATTATATTTAATTTATTGAAAAAAAAAGAATAAATATAAGGCGAAAAATAAATACTTAACCGAAACCACATTTGGGTCGAGGACCTTCCTCGGCGCCTATGTACAAAGTGTCCGAATTTCGTGGTCGTCGCGGGACATGCTCGAAAATTTGGATAAACACTTTTCGGAAAATTTGAAAAGACGAGACATCAATGTTCAGTCGGCACAGAATTTGCGTTATTGAAGGAATTATAAAAGTTTTCAAATTCAAACTGTCTTAATAAATTGCATAAAAGTCTGACGTGAAAAATGTGTGTAAATTAATAAATACCGAACTAATAATTTAAATCAACGATCTTGGCTTCCGCATCTGGGTTGAAAAACAGTTTTCGTTTCATTAATATTTATAACTGGTTTTTAAAGTCCCGAATCGAGTCACCTTTTTTTTTAATTTCAATTAATTAATCGCTGGTTAATTAGCTAAAGAGGTAACACTTTTAGAATAATTAGTCCCTTGCTTCTTGCTCTGACAATTAAAAAAAATACATTTTCTTTCTCTCCTTTTCGACACACTCCGAAATAGCAATTGCGTCAACGGAATATCCCACGACGGCGACCAATTGCGGACGTTCGCCGGCTTCGAGCAGCGGGGGCGGTCGGTTTAGACGCCGCCCCGCGGCCTAAACCTAAAAACCTAACTTAAAACGGAAAACCCTTTTTTCCAATCAAACTGGAATTACTCGGATATGCGTTATCACATATATAAATAGTACCATACGCGGAAAGGGACACGGGCGGGGCAAAACCCCCGCCGCCGCCCCCGCATTGAGCAAATTCGACCGGCGGTGGCTTCTTGTGACGCCCCATAACCATCACGAGTAGAAGCAACTCCTCGACGCGCCGACTTTCACGGGCTTCTGCGGGTACCCGACGAACCCGACCACCTTCTTTTTCCCGTTCGCGAAAGGTTTCAGCTTGAAGCAGAGGAAGGCCGACATCAGACACGACACCACCATGACGGCGAGGAGCACCACCAGGGTGGCCGCGAATCCCGGTGTGGTCATACAAATCAGTCCGTTGGCAGATGCGAGTTCGTCTCCGGCCGGGAATACCATCGTAGGGGCCGCGGTGGTACCGTTTTGGTTCTCGTCTAGCGAAAAGGTCAGGTCGCCGGTCGACACCACCCTAATCACCCTGTTGACGCCCACTTCCTTCTCCGGATCGGTACCCACCGACCTTCTGATCCTCCTCTCGTCTCTGGGCAAGGCCGAGTGGAGGTACGACTCAATGGGAGGAAGCGGGGGGCCGTACCCGCCGTCGGGTACTCCGTGGGGTGACAGATCCACTATACCGGATCCGTAACCCAAAGGGCTGGTCCCGTCTGAGCACTGATCGGGGCACTGGTACCTGCAGATCTGGATGGTGCATTGGAAGTGAACCTCCATACTGTCCGGAAATTTAAACGCTTGGAAGTGTGCGTAGGAAAGTACGGACGCGCTCGCGCCGAAGTTTTTGATTTTCGTGAACCTGGACATTAGTTTAGGCCTGGTAACGCATCCTTTCTGGTCGACCAGCTGGATGGGTGCGCGTTTGCCGTCGTGCGCCATGCAATTGCGCACCAACATGTCGAACTTGGAGTCGTCGTCCTTGATCGCCAACACCATCGTCATCGTTTGACCGATTTTCACGAGACCCGAGACCTCCGAAGCCCACGGACCTTTGCCGACCTGGATCTGCATCCAGCAACCGACGTTATCGCCAGCGAAATCGGTGCGCACCACGTCCAGCATGTCAACGGGGAAGGGTCTAAACGTTACCGACTTCTCATACTGGTCGTGCCACGTGCAGCGCAACTTCCGAGCCTGATCCCACACCTCCTGCACCTGGGGGTCGTACTGTATGACGATGATGTTCTCGAAGTAGGTCCCCGAGCCTGACTCGGCACCGTATCCGTAGAGGCCGTTCTCCGTGTTACCGGATGTGCCGCAGGCGTGGATTCCGATTTCGAAGTGAGTGGACGTTCGGCCCAAACCGGCGGGCAAGTGGACGCAGTGGACGTTGCTGTAGTGGCCCTTGCTGAAGACGATGCCGTAGAAAGGCTTGTCGAAACCTGAAACTCCGCAGAATTTCATTAGCTTTTTTTTCAAAGAAACGTAAACAGGCTGATATAATACTTTTTACAAAACTTCCTCCTGTGCCGTTTTTGCTGAGTCGAACAGCTTGACCGAAACTGACTCGCATTTTACTCTTTTGCTTATATATTGTTTGAGGGGTAATATTGGCGACAGGTAAAGACCTTCAATCTTCCTCGAGACTAGTTGATATTTTTAAACTCCTGGCATCTCAAATGGAATTTTGTCTTTGACGGATCGAATCTGGTTTTAACGTCATATTTCTTTAGAACTTTTGATATGTGGTCAGTGATGTTTTGAATGTAAGGAGAGACCACAGTGGCAAGTGTAAGATGACTTTCGGCCTCATTGCCATTGGAAGGTTGTGGTGAAGTGTATTTGGTGATGGAACGCTTTAATATCTTTAATGTGAAAATTATTAGAGAGAAGAGCAGAGATAAGGTGTTTTAATTCTAGATTCAGTGACTCGGACTGAGATAGTTTTACGGCTCTGTAATCAACAGAGTTGATAACCGATTATTTTTGAGCTGGGTGGTGATGTGGCCACGCATTAAGGTATCAGTCTGTGCGCGCAGGTTTTCTGTAAACACAATGACCCAATCTTAGGTCTTATTTCCTATTGATAAGAATATCTATTATTTGTTTCTAACTCAATGGTAAAAAGTATGTTAGGGTTTAAAGGTCTACGAAAATCTACTAGGGATTCTATCATCGACGTAGCGTTTCCACAATTTTGGTTTTAGATGAAAGGTGTCGAGAGCTTTCTTCTCAAAGGCTTCTATAATATTGGCTATGACTGGTGTCAGTGGAGAACCCATAGCTGTTCCCTACGTTTGTTCTAAAATTTGACGGTTACAAGAAAAATATGTTCATGAAAAGCAATTTTCAATCAATTGGTTTGGCTCCAGATTCCCGGATTTTAATATATCTGAAATGATGTTGAGGGTTTCGGGAATTGGAACTTTGGTAAAGAGGGATTCCACGTCGAAACTAACTAAAATATCTTGTGTATCTAATGCAATGCTTTTTAATTGATCATTGAAGTGGAAGGAATTAAGTACGAACCTATCAGTAAGGAAGCTAGATATTTTGCTAGAGATTAGGTTGGAGAACCAATGCTTTTTATACCTAAGTGAATTCGAACCGCATATTCTAAATAAATGTTTGTAATGTTCTATTGATGTATTTGTGTTGTTTATTATATACACATCTTACATGATTGTCCTATATGTGTAACTTTATTGTAAGACATACACATCTTTTATTTCATCGATTTTAAAACATTTTAACGTTTTTTTTTTTGACGAAACATCTATTGTAATGGGTTTTGTGAATAAATGATCTATCTATCTAATGGTGCTGACAATATATCGAATGGGTAATCCTGGGTTGTGAATCCGTAGGGACGAGGAATTTTGGAGTGATGCGGGGTGACAGATTTTTTCACGGAGTCTAATAGAGAAGAAGCCTTAATAACAGATTTAAGGTTGCGTTCCATAGATAACGTAGGACCTTTTTTAAGTTGACGATATGATCCGTAAGAATATTTTCCTGATATTCATTTGCATTCAGGACCACCGTATCATTTCCTTTATCTACTTTAGGGTAATGCATTCAGGCTTTGCAATATTAGATTTAGGAGGTTTTCATTTTTTAAGGATTTTTGCAGTTTGAAATCGAATTTCATTAGCTGTTGGTAGTTTGTTTCGCATAGACTCGACATTTGAAATGATTTCCGCTTTCGAGATAATACGTTGGGCAAGGACGAAGTTCGAACCTTTTGAAAGAACTGATTTTTCTGTTTTCGAAAGTCGGTGCGATGATACATTTATTACAGTGTTTGGTAGTTGTAAAGAGTTTGATGGTTTTCCTAGTGTTAATGTTTGAAAGGGTATCGAACTCGGATGGGGACACGATGGAAGCAATTTCAAGGTGTAGAGTCATGTTCCGAAGAAGCCAACAGGATGACTGGCGAAACGTTAGCAAGTTCGACTTAGCAAAAACCGACGCAGAAGGAATCCAGAATTTTTGTAAACAGTATTGATTAGTTTTTCTTCGGTAGGGTAGCTAGAGGTCGGGAAATGACCCCCAAAGCAGTTTCCTAGATAAAAACTAAACAGCTGGAACTTTTGGTCGATACCAAGAAGATCGCTATAGGCTCTGTCTAATTAGCTCACCTACGTAAACTTTCATCAGATTCTTTTCGCACTTGACGTCCAGCGATATGATTTTGGGCATGTCGGGCACGGGGGCGGGCCATATCTCGTTCCCCGCCGTGTCGTACTTGTCCATCGCCTGTTTTGGCGGGGGCGGCGGCGGAGGCGGTCCCCCATACGAGTTCTTGTTCTCGTACGTCGGCTTGTTGTTCTTGTACGGCTTGTGGTTGTAGTGATTAGTGTTCCTTGAAATAAATCGAAATAAAACCGGCGTTATGCCGAACGTAAAGGGTTACCTAGATGGCGGCAAAGGGATGGGGTTGTTCCGCGGAGGTCCGTTGTACGCCATCTTCTTCGGCGGCTGCTGCTCCTGATCTTCGGACGTTTCTGCGTTGTGTTGCTCGGCGTTCGTCGTGTCCTTTTCGTTTTGCTCTTTGACCTCTTCGGACGGTATCGCTTCCACTACTTCGACCTCCTCGGCCAGCGTCGCCAACTGGAAAACGAAAGGGTTGCGATCGCTTTCGTCGAGCCGGAAACGGTAATGAAGCCTCGCGTGCTCGCACGATAGCGATACGTCATTATCTCTCGCCTAGAATATGCTAATGGACGGTCTTAACGCCGCCGGACCGTGTTGTTTCGAATGGTACTCGAGGAATTCGATAGATTCACTTTTGCTCGCGTTCAGGTTTAAGTATCTCAGCCGATCGTGGATTTTTTCAGCTACGCCCAGTAGTTCGCAGCTCCAAAAAAAGGAAGAATATTTTTTTTATTAAAATGACGGGCAACGCGATTTCTTTTGTCAGGGTTTAGAAATAGTCTATGTGGACTTTCAGGTTCTCCAAGGTCCTCTCGGACGATAAATGGATACTGCCGTAAAAATTCTGCGTCAAAACTTATTGACGAACTGACAGCGGCCATGTTGCTTGCTGTTCCATGTTTCGTAAGGTCGTTGGTCAGCGTTCCCACCAAAGGTCAAAAATTCCCTAAGCGGTCTTTGAAATTTCCCCTAATTGACTCCTTAGTACCTAGAAGATTTTTTATTTAAATACTCAAAATACAAGGTCACGGCTAGTTATTTAGTCCGAATCGAATGCAATAAAACTAGTTACTTGGGTTTTTAAATTCAATTTAATTAATTTTATCATTTTCCCAAGATATCTCGTTTACCTTGTCGCTGCTGAAATTTTTGTGTGCAACAAATTAATTTTGGGATGCTGAAATTATCTTTCACAATTTAATTAATTGAAGAAAGATAATTTATAGTTTAAGAACATTAAATATATTTTTATTTTTGGATTATGTAATTTTTTAAGAATTTACTCTAAATTATGATGTACAACGTATCAATAAAAAAACCTTGGAGCATTCCACTGTTCTAAAATACGGGAAAATTTTGGAAATTTTAAAAATTCACTTGTTTTTGAAGCTATGCTTAAACAGCTCTCTAGTAAACTCTTCTGCTGTGTTTGCACCTTTCCTTGTTACAAAACTCTTTTCTAAATAGATGGATAAATTAATAACAATTTTTTTAGGCTTAATTAACTTTCCCCAATATCCCAGAAGTTGCTTAAAATAAGGAAATTTCTCTAAAATAGGGAAATGTCTCTAGAGATGCCAACGCTGTCTATATTTAATGTGCGGATATGCCACCAGTAATACACGAAACATTTTCTATATTTCTTCTATAAATAATTTATTTACGAGTTAGATAGCATTGCATTTTTCATCTGTCCCATATAAAAAATATTTTCGTTGGGTAACTACTAACTAACCCAAAGTAGCATGTTTTTGCAAGCAGTTAATACTGCTGCATTACATGATCAATATAAAATCTATGCGAGACGTGCAGAAACTAACAAAAACTAATCAAAACTAACCAAAGTTAATCAAAACATCTCTTTCTCGCACAACATTCGTCTTTATCCGTGTCCTTATCAAATGTCATCATCTCTTTTTCGCTCAACATTCGTATTTACTAGATAATGAAGGTGAAACTGCCGAGAGAATGATTTTGAAATTGAAAAGACCAATAAAATTCCACTAAAATACCGCAGGACATCTATAGTAGGCTATCGTGCAAAACTATTGAATTTGAATCTCCCTTTCATCTCTTTCTCGCCCAACATTCGTCTGTACGTTTAAAACTGGGTGGAGAATGATTTAAAATCTATGCAAAAGTAGATACTGAATTTCAAAATTTCTTTTCAGTTTTTAAATAAAGTGGTCCAAAAATATAGACAAATCGTATAAGTAGGACCAAAACTAACGTTATTTGTAATATTTCATTTTCAAAAATTTCAATTAATTCAACTGATGTTTCCATAATGTCAACGTTCCAAGAGTTCTTTCTATCTTTCTATTCAAAACAAATTAAGAGCACGAATCGAAGTGAATTTTGAGCGTTGGACGTGATTAAACGAGATCAGTCGCGAACGCGTCGAGTTTTGCTCCGTTTTCCGAATCGAGGTGGCCGAGCAGGATATGTCCGAAGAAACAAATGCCAGCGGAGACGTCGCGTCATCTTGTTGTGTCACCGTTCTGGGCTTTGCGATCCGGGCCACCGCGACCGATATGAATGAAATCGCCGATTATGTCCGCGACCAGTGTTGCCGCGCGTTTTCAGACTACCGAAACGGTAGGGGGGTAAAAATTGTTGACATTAAAAAAATTACAGTTCGACGATGTGTCCCACTTTTCAAATTTGATAAATGGTAGAGACGTACCCGGTATTTTTGTTGCTGTTAGGTTTTTTTGAATATCATTTCTGAAATCGTTACAAAATTATTGTTTGGACTATTTAAAATTACACTTAAATTAATATTAGATAAGTGAAGTTTCATAAGCCCCTCGATATAAAAGTCGGTAATTAAAATTTGTGACAATATATTAATGCCATTCATAATTATTAATATTTTATTATTATAATAATATGACACATAACAATAATTTTGAAAACAATTCAATAAACCAAAAGGTATCCAAAACAGATATAAATTATGCAAAAACCAACAAAACTTTGAGTGTGAATTTTAAATTGGTCACTCCGAAAGTTACAGGCAACAAAAAACGAATTAACAATATTAAGCAATCTCAAATGTCAAATGTTTCTAAAGATTCAGCCAATCTGGGATGCACTGCACAGCAACGGGGGTTGTGCTATAATTAAAAATGCAATTATTTTTTTATAACCCCTCGGCCACCACTTATTGGCACTTATCAAATTCTGATTTTTTTGAGCACTTGAGTTTTCAAAATCCGATAGAAAATGCATCGACGAGAATAAAAAAAACAGATACAGTTTTGAAATGCAACTAAAAAAATAAGCAGACATTGTTAATTTGAAAGAAAGAAAGAAGATTTTTGAAAAAAAATTGCGAATAAACAACGAAGAGTGAATATTTATTGCTCCCTTGGCCAACCCTAAAGTAAGGATCAAAAATCATATCCACCACTGTATTCATTTACGTTTTTTATTATTTCATCCGAAGAGATAATTTTTTTAAATGGCCAACTTTATTAATAACGGCAAAAGTGCATATAAACTCCAATTAAATTTTTTTCCATATAAATTATTAATTGTTTCTAAAGCCACATTCTTTTCTTCAGGTTTTAACTCATATTTTTGTTTTGTATTTTTGATAAAGGTAATTCTACAACATTCTCGAAGATATATTGTAAATGTTTCCACTTCTCTACAGTATCTGAGATGGTAAGGTTTTTTCTTTGCAAAATGTCAAGAGCAACTGATATTGGTTTTAAAATGCTTAAATATTCTTATGCTTTGGTTTTTGTTTTCTTCGTTTTTTTAGCAGATTTTGAATAATATATCCCACTGAATGAAGTACACCCTGTACCCAATAAAACGATCCACTATCCGATCCCATAGGAGATACGATACTGTCCCTCCGATTTTGTAATTTTAAATTGAACACCTTGTGTATATTTCGACATTTTTGGAATCCCTTTTTAAAATAAAGGTCACTTTCTTAATTAAAAATTCCACAATTCCAGAAATTTTGCATAATTTATGAAGAAATTGAGGTTATGTGTTTTTTCTTTTAATATTTTGATTGAACCATATAAAATTGTGTTGTGACGCTGCTGATACAGGAATTGCAACGAAAATTTAACTACAGGCTAAGGAGATGATACACGACTCAATCAGTTGGAGTCTCAGCTTATACAGGGTGTCCCAAATAGGTGGTGTCGTTTTGACGAGTTCAATTAAGAAAATCTCGAGATTTTCAAATGGAACACACTATATTTTTATTCAGATATCAATTCTAGGACAAAAAATAAGGTAACTTTATAATTCATCTTATATATTTTTTTTAAATAGCAAAGAGATGATACTACTATATCGATAACAATACAGGGTGCCCATTAATATGTGAATATAAAAAAAAAACACACATAACCTCAATTTCTGCCTAAACTATGCAAAATTCGAATAGGAATTTCTTGAGAAAGTGACATTTGTTTTAAGCAAGGATTCCAAAAATGCCGAAATACACAGGGTGTTCCTTTTAAAATAACAAAGTTTAAATCTTCAGGAGAATCCAGGAAACTTTTGTACGAAACTTTTTTTCGTATCTCCTATTGGTTTCCAGACCGTACAGTTTTAGACCGTTTTATTTGGCACACGGTGTACATCTTTAAACAATCAGCAACGCTATTCCATCGCACATCACTTGGGAGGGCTTAAGCGTTGCCTCCTGCTTGAGTGAATTTCGCTCTAGCTGGATGGTTATCGTCTGGTACTTGTACGTCTTTGCACAGTAAATTTAAAGAATGGGGAGAGCAGCCATAGGTTATAATTCTTGAGCCCGTCTTTTCCATTAATTATCTGTCACAAAAGAGTTTACCTCGCAGATATATTGTGATTTACATGAAGAAATTATGTCACAAATTATTTCAGTCAAATATACAATTGAAAAAACAGGTCTCGACGGAAATGTTCTTGCAAAAAGCGCGTTCTGACGAATACTTAGTGTGTATATTGTACTATATTGTATATAGTGGCTTTAAAAATTAAAAAATCAAATGATTTTTTATTTTTTTTTAATAAAAATCAAAGTTTTCCCAACACTGCTCCACAGTACAAAACCAGGCGAGGAGGCTACTTCATATCTGCCTCACTTTAAAACACAGTCTGTGCCCTGTCACCGGAAGTCAGTCTTATTGGCGACGGGCAGTGGAAGAAAAATGGCCTCTCAAAATCGAAAGGTCGACCGATTAGGAGGGACCGGCGATCGGTATAAGTGTGTGTATGGGTCATCGGTGGCCGCGGGCCTTGAGCCGGTCAGGGCACCGTTAACCCAGTCCGGTCCTGCCTGCGGCGTAGCGATGTGACGTCAACTTACCCCATGATACGTCAGGCCGACGAGAAGTAGCACGTAAAATCGCATATCGCTCTTTTCTCGAGACGGCCCTGAAACGAGAAAATCATAATATTATTATAATTGACTTTTCAAACATATTTTAGCAAATAAGTGACTTTACAAAAAAATATAATCAACTCACTATCGAAATAAATACCAAAGTTCTCTGGAAAGTAACAATTTTTGACTTGCAATTTTTATGGACTGGTCATTAGTGTAATTATAGTGGTAATATTAGGTAATTTTAGAAAAACTTGGAGGTAAATAGAAATAGAAAAATTTGCTGTACTACGATGAGAGATGATACACTGGCAAAGTGCATAAAAAAATTAATAACGACATAAGTCCGAAGTCTGATGTGTCCAGGAGTACATTTTCTTTGGATCCCTTAACCAGAAAGTAAAAAGAAAGTATACTACAATACCGATCTGTATTCCCAATTTTAAAAAATATATAAATAAAATTTTAATACCAAAAGTAACATCGTCCAAAGCTAAAAATATATCTTTATAACAAATAAATAAATTTAAAAATATTATTTGTATCCTTAAGGTTACAGACTGTGTATCCATTTAGTTTTTAAATTAAAATAATATGATTTTCCTATAACTTAAATGCTTGACTAGCAAAATTAGCCTTTTTTGACGTGAGATTGAATCTTAGTTATATGAAGCTCCTTTTCGTATAGACCACAATCTTGCAAATTTCGTAAAGAAATTTTAAATAATGGAGGTTCAGTTCATATAAAATATTCAAAACAGCAGGATTTTAAAATATTTTATCATAAAAGTCGCCAAAGGTAGACCAATTCGTTCGTAAACCGCATACCATTTTTCCACTTGGCTCTTTACGCCATAAACCGCACATAAATAAAGTCCGCGCTCATATAATCCAGCGCGATAATAATAATAATAATAATTACGGCGTAAATGAAAAGTGCTAAAGTCCGCTGTGGTTAATTATTGCGCCAATTAATTATACGCAATTAATAGTTAGCGCGGCCGTCTCGAGACCTCGCAGTTTGGACGATATTCCGCGCAAAAAGAGGCGCAAGCCTAATGAAGCACGTCATCGGATCATTACGCCTCATTAGATTCAAATTAAACGCTTCGCGCACAGGAGCTGCGCCTATTTTGACGCACTTTACGTGTCTGGATGTCGCCACACGGACCCTGTTTATTCTGTAATAATTAGGTTACTTTGTAATAGCACGCACAAATCTTATCATTCTGAGTTTCTGGAGTACACAAGGTTTTCACGCATTTTTGTATTATTTGGTTATCTTACGTAGTCAGCACCTGTTTACACTGACATACTATGTAAAAACGTAGCCCGTTTCAGCATTAAAGGGCATTGTATGACTTGAATTTTTACTATCCACTGTCAACGCGTAATTATACTGTAATACTAATTAATGTACTAGCTTCATCGCGCTTTATTTAGACTGTAATATTATGTTCTGAGCAAAGCGCCTCTACAATGTAAATTAATTTACAGTGTAAATAACATTGCATGTAAATTACATTACAATTACATTGCAATGTAATGTAATTTTTAATATTCTTTAATTTAAAATACATTACATTTTATACATTAATTCGTTTTCTCGAAGTGTCATAGATTTGCAAATAACATAAGCCGCTCGAGTGAGCACCTAATTACGCTGTAATACTGAATACGCTTGAATTGAAGCTAGCATGTAATAAAATTATAGGATTTTTACATAAGTCGCTTTCTTTATCTACAAGGTTACATCACGTACTGTGGAAAATCCGATATCAATTTTATATAAAAAATCTCGTCAGCCATTGTTAAAGCGGAGATTATTTATTTGGTTATTGTAATACAGGCGCGTCAGCGACCCACACGCCCTCTCGTAGCCCCAAAACGAATCGTCAACAATGTCGGTGACACCGATACTCAAAAGCCAAACATTGTAATGAGCTTCTTTAAGTAATCACTTCCATATACAGAAGAAAAAGGCCCGCCCGCTGTTTACCGTCTATCGCTAAACGGCGGACTATCGAACGGCGGATACGTTCCGGTTAGGTCGTCTTTTCAAGTGTCACTCGACGAAATATGAATGAATATGGATGACCGGCAGTCGATAGTTGCCACGCTAAATGTGTCAATGGGTCGGACCCTCCGGTTTGCGTAACCAATGAGCAAAAGTTTTATATCTGTGTCCGATGAACTTCGGTCGTAGAATTGATCTTTACGGTAATTAAAGATACAATCCAACATAAACATGACTTGCCTTGCGAGATAATAAAACGTATTTTTCTATTCCCTACCCTAAAATAATCAATTATACAGCGAATCAAAAGCATGAATAATAGACAATGAAATTGTCGCCAATATGAGAATCAGTCATCCGAGACGATATCCATGTCCTTCATTTAGCTCCGCCCCCTCAAACAAAATGTAATGTAGTCTTTATGAAATAAATACTACTTGTTTTTAATACATTTAATAGTACTATCCAAACATTACACGGCGAAGAGTTGTACTGTTACATTCAAAGCTTTTTAATAAATGAATGACCCAAGCCTAACTTTGTCCTTTCGTGGGCCTCTAAAAGTAATATAAAACTAATAGTTTGATGGTATCCTGCTGTTAGGTCCAACGTAGTAAAATATTTGCAGTTTGATAGATTGTCTATGATTTCCTCAATAATCGGCATAGCTATTGTTTGTTTTTTTTTTATATTTTGTTTATTTGTCGAAAGTCAACAACTAGCCTTTTCTGACCATCGCTTTTATTGATTAAAAAGGAGGGGCTCGAATACGGTGAAGTGCTTTTACATATTATTTTTGCTTCCAGTAATTCCTTTACAGTGCCTCAATTTTTTTTTTATCTGTCTCGGCTACTCTGTATGGGCGATGTTTAACTATTTTCGAGCAAGTCACTTCAATTTTCATTCTAACAGCTGTTGCCTTTTTTAATGTTTTTAGAGAGGTAAAGAAACATTCCTTCTGATTGTCTAACATGGAATGGAGGTCCATTTTTTCTGCGCTTATCGTTATATCTTTTGCGAAGTCCTTTTTATATTCAAATCTTTTGCTGTAACGAATTTTTCTATGTTAGATGTGTTTCCCAAAAAAGACTGGTAATTTGATTTTTTTATCTAGATTTTTGATTTTTACTCCAAAACGTATAGTAGCCTCTTGTTGTTGGTTGTTTTAAAAAAAATATTTTGTTAAATTTATTTTGGGAATTATTAAACATAATTCTCTTAACAGATTCGAATTTATCAGTTATATTTTGATATTGGAATATTCGTCTGTGGATTTTGCGAATCTTTATCATATCATATGCCCTGTATATTTACAAAAATTGCAAATTTTATACGGATGTCTACATATTTGCCTGAGATGACCCTCTAACCGACAACAATTACATTTTTTTACATTTTTTCTCGATTTTTGTACGTGTTTGTACTGGCAATAAACTTTGTTTGTACACCTGAGGGGCCTGGTATATTGGTTTGAAAATTGGCTGCATGATGGTATTTATTTTTAAGATAGGCCGCTAGTATGTTAGGATCTTTAATACCCGAAGCTTCCACTGCTAATCTAATATTATTGTCATTTATCGCTCCAATTATTAAAGATACTTTGTCACTGTCTGAAAAGTTCACGTGAAGGTTCTTAATTCTAGCCAAATGGTCAAAATGAAACTGATATAATGAGCATCCCATTGTTGGTTTATGATTGCCGATATCCATAAATATATTATATGTGTTTCTAACTCCTTGAAATGTTTTTAACGAGATAGTTCCCAAGAAAATTGAGACCACCATAATTCATTCTCCACAAAACTTGTATACTTGTATCGTTCGACGAATAGATATTTGCATTATCTTCAATGACTTCTATCCACTGATTAATCTGAGCGTTTATTGAATCGAACTCTAGTATAAAACTTACATTTTCAATGTTCTTCAAGTTATTGCAGTGGTTTGAAACAGACGAAGAAAGGGTACTCACCGCGTTGACAGGAGACGTATAGCTTCTTATTTGGTTTCATTTGAAAGTCCGCCACTTCTGATGTAGTCTTTATGAAATAAATACTACTTGTTTTTAATACATTTAATAGTTCGATCTAAACATTACATGCACGGCGAAGAAGACTTCTACTGTTACATTCAAGGCTTTTTAATAACTCAATGACCCAAGCCTAACTTTATCCTTTCGTGGGCCTCTAAAAGTAATATAAAACTAATAGTTGTTACAATATGGGAACACGGGGTTGAGTGGCCAATAAAGGACGCGGACGGTATCGTTCTGTGCGATACTTTTGATTCGATACCAAGTATATATAGCATCGAATCAATCTTGCGATACTTATTCGGTATCGAAACAAAAGTAGTTGGTATCAAATCGAATCAGCCTCACCATTAAAACAAAAAACCGAACGCATCAGACAAACATAATCTCCATCTGATCTATGGTGACGCGTTATCTCCTCCAAAATATCCTCGTACTAAAAAACACATTTTATTTTTACACGCATTTTGTGGCTGTGACACGACTTCTGCGCTAGTTAAAAAAGGAAAAAAAACTGTTACTAAAGCATTGGTGAAAATTCCCGATTTAGATAAACTGGTGGATGTATTTCAACAAGAAAACTGCCCGAAACAAACATTATTTGAAAATGGAGTGCGCATCTTGTTGGCATTATATAATGCTTCAAAATCTGAGGACAACATTGAGCATATCCGCTACACGCAACTCATCAAATTAACGAAACTAAATTGTCAATTGTACAATTGAAACAATTGTACAAATTGTACAATTCTCAACACTTCCACCAACAAGTGTAGCAGCTCATCAACATATAAATCGTGTCTACTACCAGATTCAAACGTGGTTAGGGAAGGACCTAGGACCTCAAGAATGGGACTGCATGATTGAAAATGAAATCCTGGAGCCCATAAGAACGTTATTACCGAACTGCTAAACTTAATATTTTGCAATTGCAAAAATGGTTGTGGTTCCCGCTGTGGATGCAGAAAATCAGGGCTACAATGTTCTTTAGCTTGTGGCCA